GTGTTCATCCAGCTGTGCACCTTGTTCCCACGCATCTGATAGTTTGTGTTTTGACTTTCCAATTGTCCTGTTATTAGTTTCTTAATAATGGATTCTGACAATTTACTAATGACATGTTGAACTAACTGGTCTATGTTTCTTACTTTCTACCTCCTTCCTTTCCAAACCACTGGAACCTTTCTCTCATCCAGGAAATTTGGAATATTATAACAGTGGATCCACTGTCTCTGCTACCACTTTCCTTTAAGACCCAAGGATCTAGGTTGTTAGGCCTTGGGGCCTAGTCTGCCTTCAATTCCAACAGATTACTCAGTACCTTTTCTCTAAATTTTCCTAAATTTTTGCCTTTCTCTAATCTTTGTATTCTTGTTACTATTGGGATGATACAAGTGTCCTCAACTGTGAAAACTGAGGCAAACCATTGATTTAGTATCTCCACCATTTTCTGTGTTCCCTGCTATGAATTCCTCTGACTCCTCTCAATTCCATCCTCTGATGGATCACCATTCACTTACTCTCTTCCTTTTTATATACATTTAGAAGTGCATGCTGTTAGTCTTCTTTCATTTCATAATTCTTTTATAATTGACCTTTTCTTTCTCTATTGTTTCCTTTAATAACCCTTTGGTCTTTAAACATTTTTCCAGTCTTCCATACTGCCGCTGGTCTTTGCAATAGGGTATGTCTTAGTTATTTTCTTTAAATTAGCTTTAACTTCCTTGCTTACCCCTCTTTTACAACCCTACATTTGGTACTTTCCAATCTAATGGCACCGTCACCTCTAATCTAGGTTATAATGAGGGTCCATCAGGACCTGGGCATTTGTCGGCCTGCAGCTCCAAAAACTTACTCCTACTACTTTTGTAGTGTTTGTAAATTCTCATGAACTCCCTCCTTCCATTTGTTCCCTGATATCTACTGTTACTGGGATGTTACTTGACTCCTCTCTTGTAATTCGTAAGATGCTACAACAATGAAAAAGGTACTTTGGCCTATTGTACCTATACAGAAAGTGCTGTCTAACTACCTACACTCGTACATCTGCCTTTTTCTCATAACTAAGCAATTGTTTCCACATTAAATATTTATCCAGTCACCTTTTAAAAATGATCCAGTCTGCTCCTCCAAGCTTTTAATGCATTTGAAGTCATAATTCTTCACATGAAGAGAAATTCTCATCTTAGCTCTAGCTGTTTAGCTATTTACCATATATCTATATCCTTTTGCGTATATGCTGCAACTTCTCCTTTACCGACCTCTATTGACTCTCTTAGCTTTCTTTGGTCTTAGAAGAACAAGACTTAGAAGACATTCCACATCTCTAAAGATTTTGCATTGCTATTAAGTGGTAAATTTCATAGAAACATAAGAATTACGAGCCGCAGTAGGCCATTTAGTTCTTCTGAACCTGCTTCACCATTCAGTATGATCATAGCTGCTCACCCAACTCTTCTCACTTTTTTCACGGTAAAGGTGTGGCTGTGGGTACCTGCTCAGGCCTGAGTAATGCCAGTTCCTTTGTGAGAAATGTGGAACATTCCATGTTCCAGTCCAACTTGGGTCCCTCTCCTCAACTCTTTCTCTGGTACATTGATAACATCGTTGAGGATGTTTTCCTCTCCCCTGGACTTGGAAATCTTTATCAATTTTGCTTCCAATCTCCATCCTTACAACTTATCTGGTTCATCTCCGAGTCCTCCCTTCCCTTCCATTGACACCTTGGCTTCCATTTCAGAGGATAGGCTGAGCACTGATATCCATCACAAGCCTACCAACTCCCACAGTTCCTTGTCTATGCGTCCTCACACCATGCCTGTTAGAAGGACTCCATTCTATTCTCCCAATTTCTCTGTTTCTGCTGTATCTGTTATGATGTCACTTTCCGTGCAGAATCCTGAAACATGTCTTCCTTTCTCCTCAACCAGAGATTCCTTGCTACCACATTTCTGTCAGCCATGTCTGATCCATTTCCGGCACTTTGAACCCAGGTGCAATTTGAACCCAGGATCACAGAATAATACTGGGGTCTCTGGGTTGCTAGTCCATAGATAATACCATTATGACATCTACCCTTATTCCTTCCCTTCTGTCCCTTGGCAATAATAGGTTTCCCCTAGTCCTCATTTTCCACTGCCCCAGCCTCCGCTGCCATTTCCACCATCTCCAGCAGAATGCCGCCGCCGTAAACACACTCCTCTCCCCTCCGGGATACCCAAATCCACTTCTCTATTCCCGATATCACCTCTCTCAACACCTTCCCATGCAATTGCAATTGCCCACTTACCTCCTCCCTCCCACTATCCAGGACCATAAGCACACTTTTCCAGGTGAAGCAGTGTTTTAACTGCACTTCCTTCAATCCAGTCCACTGTACTTGCTGCTCACATTATTGGCCCCTCTACACTGGGGAGACAAAACCTGGCTGAGCACATCTTTATCTGTTAAAATGATCCAAGCTTCCTGTTGCCTACCACTTCAACACATCACCGTGTTCTTGTGGCAACATTTCTGTCTTGAGTCTGCTGCATTGTTCCAGCGAAGCTCAATGCAGGCTGGAGGAACAGCATCTCATGTTTCACCTAGGTGCCTTGTAGCCCTCATTATGCAACATTGAGATTAACAATTTCAAAGCATAAACACCTCCCTCCATGGTCATTACCCAAACCCACATCTGGGTCCCGTTCTGTATTGGTCTGTTGATCTGGTTCTGACAAGTTCTCTCTCACACTCTTGCTCGCTCCCCCTTGCCATCACTCCCTCCCTCTTTCCCTCTTGTGCTCGCTCCCGCCCTCGCTCACTCTGTCCCCACTTTGGTGTACCATCTCCATCTATTCATGTCAGTTTTCCGTGCTGTCATGAGCATGAATACCACCATTTCCCAGCTGCTTTTAGTTATGATGAAGGGTCACTGAAGTTGAAACATTAACTTTGTTATCGTCTCCACAGTCGCTACTGGATATGCTGAAGTTTCTCGAGCACTTTTTGCTTCAGATCTTCAGCTCTTTGTTTTATTTATCTAACTCAGTATCCTGTACCTGCTTTTTTCCCTATTTCCTTTGATCCCTTTAACCCTAATCACAATATCTATCATCTTGAAAACATTCAATGTTTTGGCTTTGACTGCTTTTGGTGACAATGAATTTTACAGGCTCACCACTCTGGGTGAAGAAATTTCTTCCCATCTCCACATTTCCCTTGCACATCCGTTCTTAGAAATATAGTTTTTTAAATACCCATATTCATTCACACAGTTGGAGGGTTGCTGGCCAGGGTAGCATTTGTTGTCTATCTCTAATTGCCTGGAAGGCAGTTAAGAGTCAGCAACATGACTGTGTGGTTCTGGAGTCACATGTTGGGCAGATCCTGCAAGCATGGCAGATTTGTTTCACTAAAAGGCAATAGTGAATCTGATGCCTTTTTAAAACAATTGACAGTGAGTTTGTGGTCATTCTTAGACTTTAATTCCCAATGTTTGTTGAATTCAAATTCCACCAACTGCTGTGGTGCAGTTTGAACCCAGGATCACAGAATAATACCGGGGTCTCTGGGTTGCTAGTCCAGAGATAATACCATTATGACATCACCTCCACACTCGAGCCCATAACTGGTCACATTACTGCAACAATAACCTAACTAGTGATTTATTAAGCCTCAGTATAACTTCCTTGCTTTTGTATTTGATGCTTTAACTGATAAATTCAAGGATCTTGAATTCTTTTTTAACATTTTGGTAAAATAAACACGTGTGGCTGTGGTATGGGCTCTAAATTCTGGTCTTGTCATTAATGCCTACATTCAGTGAACAAAGTAAAAAATGCAGTCTTCTCAACTTGCCATACTACTTTCAAAGACTCATGAACTGTCTCCCAAGCCATCTCTTGTTCTCAACCCTTTGCAAATGGAAACATCTTCTATCTGATAAGTCTGAATCCATCCATGATTAGGAACACCTCAAATGTTCTGCCCAATTTGCTATTCTCTAAGGGGAGCAACTCCTAATTTCTCCAATTTGTCTATCCAACTAAAGTACCTCATCCCCGAAATTCTCCAAAAATTTTTCTATGCCGCCTCGAAACTTTTTGCATCCTTTCTAGTTTTTATGTTGACAGAAACGGTTGCTGCAAGTACTGAATGCCCATCCTTTTTACATGTTAATGATCAGATAGCAGTATTAATAATTTCAGTATCACTACTGTATTATCCAGATATAATCACTTTGATATTCTGTATTCAAGTTATGAATTTCCTAGCCATGAGTTTATTTTGAACTTGTACAGTAAATGAGCGCTGAAAATATGAATCATTCCTTTTAACTATGGCGGTCGGTTTAAAATGAGTTGTACCGTAAATAGACACTCTTTGAAACTATATCTAATATTTAATAAGCAATTTAGTCTGTGCCCTTGTCATAACTAAATTTCAAAGCTATTTTTGTAATCTTAATTTATAGCTTCTTTCTAAACGGAAAATTATTTATGAATCAAACTTATAATGGAAGATAGTAACTAATTTTACTGATGTTAATGAGAACGTATTTTTTAAAAATTGTTATTAGTATTTGCGGTAAAGCATATCTGGGAGCGTATTAATTTTAAGAAAATCCTCTACACTGGGGGAAAAATAGCTACATCCATTGAGTTACAAAAACCACTCGTAATTTGTAAATGTAGCCCCTTTATTACTGGCTTTTAGCTTGAAAATGTTTCAAGATTTCCTGCATTAAAAAGTAATGCAGTGCAATGCAACTTTCTCTAATTCTGAGATTTATATTTTCATTTGAATTAGATTAATGCTGCTTGAAGGACTTGATTGATGTTCTGACCAAAAAATTTTAGATTTTGACATTTTTCTTCCTATAGCACCTAGAAAAGAATTTATAGGAGGAATGCAGAATGGCAACTTTCCATTTTTTTTAATATTGATCTACCTTTTTGTTTAGAAAAAGAATGTGTGGCCACTTGTATCCAGAACATGCAGCAATCAGAAGATCTTTTACCCCTAGAAATCGTTGAAATGTTTGCTGGACTGTCCTGTTTCCTTAAAGACTCCAGTGATATATCACAGGTTCTTTTAGATGATTTTAGGTCCTGCCAAGGTTATCAATTCCTTTGTGACCTTCTGCTCAGGTAAGTTCATAACATAGTTTTTTTTTTTTTGTTCATGCACTATCATCAATTGTGTTTAGTGAGCTGTTTTAAGTTCACTTCATCTGCTTAACTTAAATGTGTAGTGTGAGCACTGCTGTCTTAATGTCATTTGAGTTTATACAGCGTAACAGGTATGCCTATCTGCTTTTCGCTTGATTCAAGACTTAATTAAGAAGAGTTCCTGAAAGAGTAGATGACTGATTTGAGAGAGCATTGGTTTATTTAATTTTCTTTCCTTAAGTTAAATCTGCCTTATCAAATAAATGTAAAAAGAATTAGTGTCTCAGTGTGAAACTACAGAGATGGAGAATGCTGGCAGGCAACCATATTTCAGATATGATAGGGGAGAGTACAGTCTATCAGATTTAATTAGAAAAACACATTTGTAGAATTTAAGAAGTGGTACTGTTGCAGTACTTGTTTTAATACTAGATTAAAACATGCAAGATCCTGAGGGGTCTGGACAAGATAGATGTGGAAAGGATGTTTTCTCTTGTGGAAGAATCTAGAATTAAGGGTCACAGTTTAAAACTTAGGAGATCACTCATTGAAGATAGATGAGATTTTTTTTCTAAAAAAATGGACATGAGTCTTATAGCTCTTTCTCAAAATGAGGTTGAAGCAGAGCCATTGAATGTTTTAGTGTAGAGGTAGGTAGAAGCTTCCTAAGCGTGGAGATGAAAGGTTAATGAAGATGGGCAGGAATGCAGAGTAATCCTCGTTTAAGAGCAAGAGTGAAACTTGTTGTAAAATATCTTGCACCTTACTTTATTAAAACTGTTTTTTATTTCATTCAAGTGCAATTTCTACATTCTATCATCTCTCTCTTTGTATTGTGCGTGTTAATTAATAAAAATATCTACTAATGAATGAATAAATATTCATATTAACACCTATCTAATAATTTGGCCAAATAAGCTGTTGGTATTGCCTTAGTTCAGGCATCTAATTGGCATCGACAAAATCTGATCATCTTGCTACCAGTTTAATTAGAAACTTAAGGATTGTATAGTAAAGTGTTGGGGTGAGTATCTGTCCTTCTGATATATTCTTTTATTCTTGTATCCATTGCTCAATGAGCATCAGTCAAGGAATAATGAAAGATGTATTGTGGCAGGTTGGGTAGAATCTTAAAGTTTTGTTGGAGCGGTGATGGCTTCAACAACAGATCAGAAATCTGGGCACAGCTCCACCTTGGTCATTTCCAAGAGCCCTGACTTGATGTTGATATTTTCTATCAACCAGTTCAGAGATGTTTTTATATACCTCTGGAGCAGATGGGACATGAACTCAGGCCTCTTGGCTCAGAGGTAGGGACACTACCACTGCACCACAACAGCCCCTGCTCTGACAGGCCATTAACTACGTGGTGTGTCAACTTCTGACCCTCAATTGGTGAAAATGGGACCAGTAAAAACAACTGGCCTGACCAATCCGGAGTTGACCCCTCCCCTCCCCCCAACTCCCTCTTGGCCTGCTAGAAGTCCTCCAAAGTCTACAGGGTGGCCTTCTCACGTAGCAAATGGCAAACTCCTTCAATCCCCACTATTGGCGTTGGCAGCAGGAAGAGGCCTTTTATTGGCCCTTATTTGACTTCAGTTGTCCTCTGTGTAGGAAGGGTATCTGCTAGTTTCCCACTCAGAATTCCATGGCCTAAGGAAGGCAACAGGTGCTCTGCCTCAGCCTTCATCCTGTTTCTACATCCACTTCGTTCCATTTGTTTTTGTTTCAAAATCTTCTAACTTCATCCCACCCTCTCCCTATAATCTTCTCCAACCCCACAGCTCTCAGAGATAGATGCACTCCTATAACTTTGACCAGTTGTGCATCCCTGGTGTTAAACATTACAACATTAGTCATAGACATACAGTGTGGAAATAGACCTTTTGGTCTAACTTGTCTATGCCAACCAGATTTTCCAAACTAAGTTATTCCAGTTTGCCTGTATTTGGACCATATCCCTCTAAACCTTTCCTATTCACGTACTGTCCAAATATCTTCATGTTCTAACTGTACCTGCATCTGCCACTTGGTCTGGCAGTTTGTTTGACATACGAACCACCCTCTGTCTGAAAAACTTACCCCTCAGGTCCCTTTTAAATCTTTGTCCTCTCACCTTAAAATTATGCCATCTAATTTTGAACTCCCCTACCCTGGGAAAAGGACCTTGGCTATTCACCTTGTCTATGTCCCTCATGACTTTATAAACCTCTATACGGTTACCCCTCAACCTCCTACGCTCCAGTAAGTGTCCTATTAACTCAAACCCTCCAGTCCCAGTAACGTCCTTGTAAATTGTCTCTGCATCCTCTCCAATTTAATAATATCCTTCCTGTAACAGGGCTTCCAGAACTGTCACAGTACTCCAAAAGTAGCCTAACCAGCATCCTGTACAACTGCAACATGATGTTCAAACTACTATATTCAGTGGTCTGAGTAATGAAGGCAAGCATGCCAAATGCTTTCTTTATCACCCTGTCCACCCATGACACCACTTCCAAGGAACAATGCACCTGAACCCCTGTTCGACAACACTCCCTAGGGCCCTACCATTAACTATGTAAGACCTATTCTTGTTCATCTTACCAAATGCAACACCTCGCATTTGTCCATATTAAACTCCATCTGCCACTCCTTGGCCTATTGGCCTAATTGATCAAGATCCCTTTGTGCTGTTAGATAACCATCTTTACTGTCTGCTGTACCACCAATTTTGGAGCATTTGCAAACTTACTAACCATGCTTCCTGTATTCTCATCTGAATTGTTTACATAAATGACAAACAGTAGTGGACCCAGCTCCAATCCCTATGGAACGCCGCTGGTCACAGTTGGAAAAACAACCCACCACACCATCCTCGGTCTCCTACTATCAAGCTAATTTTGTATCCAATTGGCAAAGCGCTTCAGAATTCCATGTGCTCTACCTTTGCTGATTAGTCTACTGTGCAGAACCTTGTTAAAGGTCTTGCTAAAATCCATATAAGACACATCTTACTTTCAGTTGCCTAGGCCACAAAGTTTGAATTGCTCTTTTTAAATGTCTCTTGCACAAATTCTTCCTTTAAAACATTCTTTAAAGCCCAGCTGTAAGACCAAGCTTTTACTTATCTGACCTAATAGCGGCATATATATCTCAATGTCATATTTCGTTTTGTAATGAGAGCTTTCATTATGTTGAAGGCTGTATATCAATATAAGTTGTTATACCAGTAGGAAGTATTGAGGCTTGATTTTGTTTTCTAACTATCAGGTTTTTCAATTTGAGGTTTTGGTAGTGTAATGATTAAAAAGAAACTTAGTTTGTGCCACTCTTTCTCAAATGGGCTTTGATTTAGGCAATCAGGATTTCTGCTGTATACAGTATTATTCCATGTGTATAGAGCACCTGTAATGTATTTCGTACATTTCCACAATTATCAGCAAGACTGCTCGGTGGTTTGTGCAGTGTAGATTTAATGCATAGTTGGAAATAATTCTGAAAATGTTCCGCTTTGGTGTGGCAGTTTCAAAGCTTTGTGCTTAACTGGATTTCTTTCTATACTTTCACAAACCCCTCAAGCTATGCTTCTGTTGCAGCACCCTTGACATCTAATCCAAAAGCCCTTACTGAGGTTCATGATCAGTAACTGGTCCATTGAATTTTTTGACTTCCTTGATAATAATCAACTTGTCAACACTTTAGTTATGTGGATGACTTGGTAATGGCATTTGAATAAGGCTCAGGTATCAGAATGGCTTGGCTGCTCGTACACTGAAGGTTATATTGGGACTTATTTTAAGCAATTTAAGGAACAGTTTAGAGATTTGTCCCATCGAGCCTTGTCATCTATTGACAGTCCACATCTCCAGGTAACTTATTTCTTAATAACATTTCATGCAATGGTTGCCAATATAAATTAATTACACTGTATATATGTGTTTTAGATTGGAGCAAATAAATGAACCTGATGCCAAAGAGGCCGTGAAAGACTTGGTTCAGTTGGTGACCTCATTGACAATATATGGGATCAATGAATTGAGATCTACTGGCATAACTAGTGGAGCACCTTTTCTTCTGCCAGGATTTGCAGTACCACAACCTTCTGGCAAAGGTGACGCTATCAGTTAATTCTCAGTATTACTATACAAAATGACATCTTTATGAAAATCTTGACCAAACTTTCTTCTTTATTTTCATTGTGACATTATAACTTTCCTTTATGGCAACTGCATTTCATTGCATGTTATTGTGACAGAAATGATTGCTTCTGTTATTTATCTCCATATAGAAGTTTGCTTATCACTTTTAATGCACAATGTCTGTCTTGAAATTATATACTTTCTTTCATCAAATGTATATTCCTCTATAGCAAAATAGTTTTTAGATGATACATGTAAATGATGACACTTTTATGTATTTGAGTTAGACTCCTGGATGCATTATAAGACCTCATGTTAAATAATGGCATGCTCTAAACTAGTATAGCTTTTGTTCCAACCATGAAGAAAAATGCATGCTCTGTGCATTCAGTTGTAATTAGGCTATTGTACTTGAACAGCTAAGCTATTGCATGTCAATGCAATAATTGACATTAAAAAGTTGTCAGAATAAAATTTTAGAATTAACTAGGGAAGTCGTTTACTACTTATTTTCTTGATATTTTCTGTTATGTAATCTCAAAAGAAAAGTGCTAGAGTAGCATTACTAGAAGAAAGCTTAGTAATAAAGCAATAGACTGGCAGCTGAATGTCCCAGGATTAAGATGTTTCGGGTGTCATAGGGATGTAAAAGGAATGGGGGAGTTGCATTACTGGTAAAGGAGCCCCTCTCAGCTGTACTGAAGGAGGATACATCAGCGGATGTGTGCAGCGAGGTAATATAGGTAGAACTCAGGAATAGGAAAGGTGAAATCACACTGCTGGGGGTATACTACAGACCTTCCAACAGCCAGCGGGAGGGAGAGGAGAGAATTTGTAAACAGACTTTGGAAAATGTAAAAACAGCAGGGTTGTTCCAGTGGGTGATTTTAACTTCCCTTGTATTGACTAGGACTCACTTCATGCTAGGGGCTTGGATGGGGCAGAATTTGTAAAGACCATTCAGGAGGGTTTCTTGACACAGTATAGAAACAGTCCAACCAGTGAAGGGGTCATACTGGATCTGGTTTTGGGAAATGAGCCGGCCTGGTGAGTGAAGTTTCAGTGGGTCAGTATTTTGGGAGTAGTGACCAGAATACTGAGAGTTTTGACATATTCATGGATAGGGATAACAGCAGTCTTCGGGTGGAAGTGTTAATCTGGGGGAAGGCGAACTACAGCAATATTAGGCAGGAACTGGGGAATTTTGATTGGAGGCAATTGTTTAATTGTTTAATTGTTTTATCCACATCGGACATGTGGGAGTCTTTCAGACGGCAGTTGATAAGAGTTCAGGAGTGGCACATTCCTGCAAGAATGAAGGATAGGTATGGCAAGTTATGTGAACCTTGGATGACCAGGAACGTTGTGACCTTGATCAAAATGAAAAAGAAAGCATCTATAAAGTCTAGGAGGATGGGAACTGATGAAACCCTTGAAGTATATAAGGAAAGTAGGAAAGAACTTAAACAAACAAGTAATTAGAAGAGCTAAAATGGGTCATGATAGTCATTAACAAACAGGATTAAGGAGAATCCCAAGCCTTTATATATATGTATAAAAAGCAAGTGGGCAGAAAAGGAAAGGATTGGCCCATAAGGACAAAGAAGGGAATCTGTCTGGATCTAGAAGAGGTAGGTGAGGTCCTAAGCGCATACTTTGAATCAGCATTCACCAAAGAGAAGGAATTGGTGGAGGATGATCTCAAGGAAGGCCGTGTCGAATTTCTAAACCAGGTTGCTATTAAAAAGGAAGAGATATTGTCCATCTTAAAAAAAAAAAGGAAAAAAAAAAGAAAAAAAAATACGAAGGTAGAGATGTCCCCGGATCCTGATGGGATCTATCCCAGAATATGGAGGGAGGCAAGAGAACAAACTGCTAAAACCTTGACATCTTAATATCCTCTTTGATCACAGATGAGGTCCCAGAGGACTGGAGAAGAGCCAATGTTGTCCCAACGTTTAAGGAGAGTAGCAGTGATAATTCAGGAAATTACAGGCTTCTGAGGCTCCCGTCAGTGGTAGGAAAATTATTGGAAAAGGTTCTCGGAATCAAGACCTGTGTGCATTTAGAAGCAAATGGGCTTATTAGCGATAGCATGGTTTAGTGCAGGTGAGGTCGTGCTCTCTAACTTAATTGAGTTTTTTGAGGAGATGACAAAGATGATAGAGAGGAAAAGCGGTTGATGTCGTCTGCATGGACTTCGGCAAAACCTTTGACAAGGTCCCTCATGGCAGACTTTTACAAAAAGGTAAAGTCACATGGTATCAGGTGAGCTGGGAAGATGGATACTGAATGGCTTAGTCATGGGAGACAGAGTAGTGGTAGAAGGATGCTTTTCAGAATGGAGGGTTGTTACTAGTGGTGTCCACAGGGAATCAGTGCTGGGATCTCTGCTGTTCATGCTCTACATAAATGATTTGGAGGAAAATGTGGCTGGTCTAATTAGTAAGTTTGCTGGCAATGCAAAGATTGATGGAGTTGTGGATAGTGAGGAGGATTGTCAGAGGATACAGCAGGATACAGATCATATGCAGGCACGGGCAGAAAAGTTGCAGATGGAGTTTAATCCAGACAAATGTGAAGTGATGCATTTTGGAAGGTCAAGTGTAGGTGGAAATTATACAGTGAATGGCAGAACCCTTGAGAGTATTGATATGCAGAGGGATCTGGGTGTGCAGGTCCACAGATCACTAAAGGTGGCAGCGCACGTAAATAAGGTCTTAGAAAAGGCCTATGGCATGCTTGCCTTAGGGATATTGAGTATAAGGATAGACAAGTTGTGCTGCGGTTTTATAGAACTTTAGTTAGACCACATTTGGAATATTGCATATAGTTCTGGTCACCACACTACCAGAAGAGCGTGGATTCTTTGGAGAGGATACAGAAAAGGTTTACCAGGATGTTGCCTGGTTAGGTTGATTTTAGCTATGAAGAAAGTTTGGATAGACTGGATTTGTTTTCACTGGAATGCAGGCGGTTGAGGGGGTGACCTGATAGAAGTTTTTAAGATTGTGAATGGCATGGATAGAGTGGAAGGTATGAGGCTTTTTCCCAGGGTGGAGGGGTAAATTACTATGGGACACAGGTTCAAGGTGCGGGGTTGCGGGGGTGGTGGTGCGTTTGAGATGTGCGAGTCAAGTTTTTCACACAAAGGGTGGTAAGTGCCTGGAACGTGCTGCCAGAGAAAGTGGCGGAAGCAGACACAATAACATTCAAGGAACACCTGGACAAATACATTAATAGGAAGGAAATAGATGAATACGAATCCTGCAAGTGAAGACAGCTTTAGTTTTAGTTTTAGTCTGGAAGGGCAAAATGTGCTGGTACAGGCTTGGCGGGGTGGAAAAGGACCTGTACCTATGCTGTATTGTTCTTTGTTCTCTTTGTTCTAGAACCTGAGCATTTAAAAATGAGCCTCAAGTGAAAATTCAGATTTACCAAGTTTTGGAAATAATTCCAAATTTGAGAAAGCTAATGGGACTTGGAAGCCAGGATGGGTAATAGGGACGTTTTGGTTTTGAAAACCTAGCAAATTAAATTTGGCAGTTACTCCATAATATTTAACTACATGATGAAAAAGAGCTGTTATAAATAGTTATTTTAATTAAATACACACTCTGAATTTGAAAAGAGGTGATGAAATTGTGCATTGAATACTGTTATTCTTCTCTCAAACTAGGTCGCACAGTAAAAAATATCCAAGCGTTCTCTGTTCTTCAGATTGCCTTCTTAAAAGCAAAATCAAGCCATCTTGCCAGAATCATCCTTGATGCCATTTCAGACCTCTACGTTGCAGATAATGCTAATTACTTCATCCTAGAATCTCAGCACACACTTTCACAGTTTGCTGAGAAGATTTCCAAAGCACCTGAGGTGCAACTCAAATACTTTGAAATGTTGGAGTTTATTATCTTCAGCTTAAACTATATTCCATGTAAAGAACTAATAAGTATCAGCATCTTGTTAAAGTCTAGCACCTCTTACCAGTGTAGCATCACTGCAATGAAGACACTTGCGAAATTTGCTCGCCATGATCCTATTTTTAGGGATGTTTATCGAGAAGTTGGATTGCTTGAGGTGATGGTCAATCTCCTGCACAAATATGCTGCTCTATTAAAAGAGCCCATTCAGAGTTTTAATGAGCCAGGTAAATCTATGTTATCTATATTAATGCTCATGTTGCTTTTAATTATGGAAGTCCCAGTACTGAGGAGGCCATTATCTGTCATGCATGCTGTTGTCTAGCTTTTTTATTCCATTCTTGTTATTTTTTCTGTTGTTTGTTGGAGGTTTGCTTGACTGCCAGGGAGTAGGAAGTGTCTAGTGATGACAGAACAGGCATTTGACTGTAGGCCTGGCCTGATGGACCTGTAGGTCATTGCCTGCCTGACATTAGTACAACATGAACATGTGATAAAGTGTGATAATCCACATTGGTATAACTTCAAATATTACAAGAATTGTTTATGACTCCTTCAATATTAGAGTCCATGTAGGGGGAAGAAAGCGTGCATTTAACTTTGGCAATGAAATCCTGTATTTGTATGCATTTTTTTATAATGAACAAGCCAGCAATCTGTGACATGTAACATCTACTGACCAGACAGTTCCAAGTGTTGTTAGGAGGCAACATTCGATTATGCCCCAGCAGAAGTGTAGGAGCTTATTGCAATGTTTTCAATAGGTCACACAGGACAGTTCAAGGATCATTGAAGAGGACCTCAAATGTTACAGACCTTTGGGAAATTCATTGTTTATGACAGAGGGAGGAAGATGTAGCCTCCATGTTATTAGTGCTGCAGTTGGCTGTACCGCTGACAAGACATTTGAACTACACAAATTCCGTGTAGCTGACTCATTGAGGAGGTCGGGAGCAGTTAAATTGTTCTGTGCTGATGGAACTTAAAGAAGTTCTAGGAATTAGTAGGTAGCTAAGTGTTGAAGTCAGCACTCAAAAGATATCCTTAGAAACTGGGAAATTAGGAAGGTTGCTGACACCATTGGGGAAAGCCATGAGGGGTTCACAAAAAGCCTATGACCATCAATAATTCAGTGCAGTTGAGAAAATGGAGATTGTAAAGCTCACAAACAAATTTTGCTTGACTTAGTTGATCAAGTTTGGAGCTCAGGGAAAACCCCAGGGACAGGACTAGCTCACTGAAACTGGATGTCCATGAGGAGCCAGAATTACACTTTTGAATGAGTACTGATGAAAACTTTGAGTCCAGGGAAGCTTAGACTCAGGAAAGGGTAGTAATCAACAAGAACGGGAGCAGTTTTTGAGGCCATCTGTAATTGACTGGCTTTTAAGAGGAAATTTCAATAAAAGTGAAGAATTGTTATCATTTTTAAGTAGTTTAATAAGACTTTGACCCATTGTATCATGAGCATCCTGGGGGGAGTTAGTGAAGAAGTGTTTGCATGTTGCTGTTGATGATGGGATGTTCTGTCACCATATTTAACACACGTTAATTCTGGGTGTTAGGATATAAATTGCACGTGCATTATATGGATTGTGCTACTTTTCTAACGTTGTACCATAATGTTTGTTGTTTGTTCAAAACTGCGCAATCTTGTAGCTTTATTTTACTAAGTGCTTTGGATCTTATACCTTATCTGCTTTTAAAAAAAATTACTGGTCTTTGACTAAATTGTAACATGACTTTGGTAGTCTGTTCCAGGATCATTACTTATTGGATCATAACCGCAAACAAAAAAAAGGCCCTAATGGGAGTAATATACATGCCTCCTAGCAGTATCAGGATGCGGGGTAGAAAATAAATCAGGAGATTAAAAAATGGCACTATTATAATAATCATGGTGGACGTCAGTATGCAGGTGGATTGGTAGCAGAAAGAAAATAAATCCCAAGAAAACAGGCGCACTTGATTAAGGAGCTGAAAGTGAAGGAATCCCTGGGGAACAGTGACCATAATATGATAGAATTCACCCTGTCATTTGAGGAGGAAAAGCTTTAATCAGATGTAATTGTATTACAATTGAGTAAAGATAATTACAGAGACATGAGGGAGGAGATGGTCAGACCTAATTGGAAGGGGAGCCCAGCAGGGAAGATGGTAAATGGCAGGAGTTCCTAGGGGTAATCGAGGAAGGATAGCAGAAATTCATCTCCAGGAAATACTCTAAGCAAAGGATGAGACAACCATGGCTGACAAAAGAATTCTGGGACAGCATAGTAGCAAGAGAAAAAGCATTCATTGCAGTGAAGATTATTGAGAAGTTAGTGGATTGGGAAGCCTTTAAAAATCAGTAGATGGCCAATAAAAAGCAATAAGTAATGAAATGAGAGTAAACCAGCTAGTGAAAGCAAAAAGATTGCAAGAATTTTTTTTTAAGATATATGTAAGCGAGAGGCAAAAGGGTGGATATTGGACCACTGCAAAATGAGTCTGAAGAAGTAACAATGGGGAGTAAAACAACAAAGGAACTGAATAAGTACTTCATGTCTGTTTTCACAGTGGAAAACACCAGCAGCATACCAGAAGTAGGGGTAGGGGCAGAGGTGAGTGTAGTGGACATCATTAAGGAGAAGGGCATGGAGAAGCTGAAAGATCTGAAGATTGGTAAATAACCTGGACCGGATGGTCTGCATGCCAGGAGGAAATTGTGGAGGCATTGGTGGTGATCTTTCGGGAATCAGTGGAACCTGGGAGGGCCCCAGAAGATTGGAAAATGGCTAATGTAGCACCTCTGTTTAAGAAGGGAAGGTGATAGAAGACAGGAAATTATAGGCCAGTTAGCCTGACCTCAGTTGTTGGTATGATTTTAGAGTCCATTATTAAGGGTGATATTGCAGAGTACTTGGAGGTGCATGGGAAAACAGAGCTGAGTCAATGTGGTTTCATCAAAGGGAGGATATGCCTGACAAATCTGTTAGAATTCTTTGAGGAGATAATGAATGAGTCAGCAAAGTAGAGCCAGTGGATGTGATCTGTTTGGATTTCCAAAATGCTTTGATAAGGTGTTGCAGAGGAGGCTGCTAAATAATATAAGAGCCCATGGTGTAGGGGCAAAGTACTGGCATGAATAGAGGATTGGCTGACTGGCAGAAGGTAGAGAGTGGGGATAAAGGAGTCTTCAGGATGGTAGCCAGTGACTAGTGGAGTTCTGCAGGAAACAGTGTTAGGACCACAAAGGAACTGAGGGCATTGTATTTCTAAGTAAACAGATGACAGAAAGATAGATGGAGTAGTGTTGAGGGTGTGGGGAGGCTGCAGAAGGATTTGCACAGGCTAGGAGAATGGGCAGATGGAATACAATGTGGAAAAGTGAGAGGTAATGCAATAGAGTTGTAAATGGGGAAGAATAGAGTTGTAAATGTTTTCTAAATGAGGAAAAGCTTTAGAAATCTGAAACAAAAAAGGATTGGGAGTCCTGGTTCAGTATTCTCTTGAGGTTAACATGCAGGTTCAGTTGGTAGTTAGGAAGACAAATGCAATGTTAGCATTCATTTTGAGAGGTCTAAAATACCAGAGCAGAGATGTGCTGCTGAGGCTGTATAAGGCTCTGGTTGGACCGCAGTTGAAATAGAATCGTAATTTTCATAGAATTGTAGAATCCCTACAGTACGGCAAGAGGCAATTCTGAGTCCGCAACAACCCTCGAAAGAGCATCTCACTTTAACCAAACCCCTACCCTATCCCTGTAACCTCACATTTACCATGGCTAATCTGCTAGCCTGCAGATCCCTGCTCCACCTGTCTCCATACCTCAATTTAACTTAGTCCAGGATCAATGCCTGCCTGCGGCACCCACTACTGAGCCTATTAAGTTGGCTGGCAGCTTTCTAGGATGGAACTTCTTCCCTATTGAGGAGTGAAAGTCCTCTTCTTGCCTTGTTAATGGCACTGGTAGCAGGTTATTGCTGAGGGGTGGACCTTTTCAGTTTTTGACTGACTTCTCAATCCTGAGTGCTGTGGAGATGAACAATCAGCTTGCACGTTGAATTCACACATTCTTTCCCCCATATTTTCGCTCTCGCTCTTGCTCTCTCGCTCTCTCTCTCTTCTCCCCCCCCCCCACCGCCGTCTCAGGATAATGGAGCAATTTAAAATTGAAATGAGAGTTTTTCTCACTCAAAAGGTTGAGTATCTTTGGAATTGTGAGCCCTCCATTGTTGTTTATATTTATGCCTGTCATAGAATCTTGGTATTTCAGAATTGAATGATAATGGGGTTTGAATGAGAAAGTGAAGTAGACGATACTGATAGCATTCCAAAATTTCTAAATATTCAAGGGGCAAAAGGTGATGAGGAAATAAGTATAACAGCTATCAATAGAAAAGAAATACAAGGGAAAGTCATGGGGCTAAAGGCCACTCAGTCCCCTGGACCTGATGTGGATGCATCCTAGATATTAAAGGTAGTTGCAGAGATAGTGAATGGTAATATTTTTCCAGGAATGCTTAGATTCTGGAAAAGTCCCCGGGATTAGGAAAGTTCTTGTCTAACTCACTTATTTAAAAAAAGAAAGGAGACAAAAAAGGATAAGTAATTTTGGGCCAGTTAGCATATCATCTGTTATTGGGAAATGTTAGAGTCTATTATAAAGGATATAATTTCGGAGCCTTGAGGTAATAAGCAGGTAAAGATGTGGTAGTACTTGTGATGTATTTGGATTTCCAAAAGGTGTCTGAAATTGCATAAGGCCAGTTAATAAGATGACAGCTCATGGTGTTGGCGTCGTTAATTAGCATGAATAGCAAATTGACTGACTAATAGAAGACAGTTGAGATAAGCGGGTAATTTTCAGGATGACAATCTACAACAAGTAGTGTGTCACAGGGATGAGTGCTCAGGTCACAATTATTTAGAATATATATTGATGACTTGGATGACAAAAATTGAATGTACTTGCGTCAAGTTTGTGCATAACACAAAAATAAGTGGGAACGCACCTGGTGAGGTTGACACAGTCAGCAGAGGAATATAGGGGAAAAGTCTTGGCAGATAGAATGTAATGGAGGGAACAAGGGAATATTGTATAAAGAGGGAATAGTGTATAAAAATAGGAAGGTTTTGCTAAAAGTATACAACATCTGAGTTAGACCACACCTGGAATTCTGCCAACAGTTTTGGGCCTCTTAACGAAGGAAAGATGTGCTGGTATTGGAGGCAGTCCCTACAAGGTTCACTAGGCTAATACCAGCATGGAGGAGCTGTCTTATGAGGAGAGGATGAGTATTTTGGGCGTGTACTCTTTGGAATATAGAAGATTGAGAGGTGACCTTATTAAAACATACAAGAGTCTTAGAAGACTGGACAGGTTAGTAGAGAAAGTTTGTTTCCCCTTGTAGGATAGTCTAAGACCAGAGAAATTAACCTCCGAGTAAGGGGTTTCACATTTAAGACAAATGTGAACGAATCTCTTCGCTGAGGGTACTCAATCTGTGGAATTCTTGACTGCAGAAGGCAGTTGAGGCTGGGTCACTAAGTGTATTCGAGGCTGAGACAGGCAGATTTTTAATCAGCGAGGGCCACGAGGAAGAAACAGGAAAGTGGAGTTGAGAATTATTAGATCAACCATGATCTCCTCAAAGGGCAGAGCAGATTCGATAGGCTGAATGGTCTTCTATTGCTCCTATATCTTTTGGTCTTAAGTCATAACTGTTTTGAATGTCAGAGCTGGCTCAGTGGACTGTTTGATCTGCTCCTGCTATTTCTTCTCTTATGTTCTTAACTTTTTTTTGCCAAGTGTCTATAGATTCACTATATTATAGCTTGATGGGGGGGGGGGGGGAGGTATTCTCTAAACTTGCTGATTAAGGATTTTGTGAAACAAGAAGGTTTTTTGCTTGTTATAGGAACAGTTGTGTAAAATATATGGCACAGATACAGGCCATTTGGCCCAATCATCTGTGCTGAGTTTTCGGCTTGCTGAAGCATCCTCTCATATTTTCACATTTTAAATGCATCATCATAACTCTGTATTCCCTTCACCCTCATGACTTTTTTCAACCACTGCCTGTGGTAAAGGCTCTCGTTCTCACCACTCTGGACAAAGACGTTCCTTCTGAATTGTCTGTTGGATTCGTGACTATCTTTTATTATCAACATTTGTTTCCTCTTGTGGGGCAAAGTATATTTATTCTCTTCGTACCTGCTTTGTCAAAACCTTACATCTTTTTGAGACCTCTCTTACATCACCCTTAGCTGTTTTTCAGGAGAAAAGAAACAGAGCGTGTTCTTTGTAATCTGGCAAGTATGCTGATGAATTTCTAGTATCATCCTTGTGAATCTTCTCTACTGTCTACAGTGCCAGTAATATGATATGACAGCCAGAATTGCATGCAGTACTCTAAAGTATGGTCTAACCAAGTTACAGTGCAGATTTAGCATAACCTCCCCATCCTGACAGCATATAGGCAAGTTGCAGCAACAACATCATTTTAAATATTGTATAGAAACTAATTAACTTGAAATTATTTTTAGCTATTAAATTTCTTTTTTTCTGATAAGTAGAATACAAAGCAAATTCTTCATTTGAAGAACGGAAACAGCTTGCCCTATTAGTGATGGAGACGCTGACAGTACTGCTGCAAGGATCAAACACAAATGCAGGTAATTAGAAGATCTGTTATTAAGTTCACCTAACGGGCATTAGCAGTAGTGCACAAATTCTATTTTTGAAGGAAATACTTCATTCTGTGCCAGTGCCTAGATGTTTGCATATTATGTAACAAAGGCATTCAGCCTTATTCTGTCAGTTCCATGCTAAACTATTCCAACTATTTTTCTGCTGAACAGTACATGGTAGATTGACTTTTAGTTTACACACAACAGAAGTTAATTCAGAGGAGGACTTTTTTTTTTATTAAAAAAAAGTAATTTCTTTAATAGAAGGTTGCGCTGTTAAGATTGCATTCAAACTTGTCATTAGAGCTTTTTCTTAATTGTCCTACTGTCCATTTGCTGCTGTCAAGGGGGAAAAGACATTTTATTTATTCATTCACAATGTTGGGGTTGCTGGTAAAGGCTGAATGCCTAGTTGCCCTTTTAAGGATTTGCCTTTTTGAACCACATTAGCCCATGTGCTGAAACAACAACTACTGAGAGGTAAGGAAAGGGATTTAGGGATTTTGATCGATTGTCATTAAAGAGAAAACAATATGTTCTAAGCCCGGATGGTGTATAGCTTGCAAGTGAACTTGCAGGTGCTCTGTTCCCATGTGTCTATTCCCCTTTTCCTTCTATAGGTGATAGAGATTCCAGGTTTGGAAACTAATGCTGATGGTGTGAGATTCAGCAGAAGTAAAATGCCTTGATTGTCAAAGGGTGATGATTGTACTTTTCTGGTTGGACTTGGTCATTGCTTGGAACAGTGTTGTGAATGTTACTTGATGCTCAATCAGCCTCAGTGTCAGATCTTGTTGAATGCAGAAATAGACTGCTTCAGTATCTGATGAGTTCCAAATGGTGATGAACATTATGCAATCATCAGTGAACATCTCACTTCTGACATTAGGGTGAAGAGAAGATCATTGATGAAACAGCTGAAGATGGTTGAGTCTAGTACACATTATCCTGAGGATCTCCTGCAAAGATAACCTGGAGTAGCTGTGATTGTTCTACAACAAACACAGCTGTTTTCCTTTGTGCAAGTTATGACTCCAGCCAGTGGAAGATTTTCCCATTGAATTCAATTTTGCTAGGGCTTCTTGATGCTAAGCTTAGTCAAATGCAGTCACTCATCACACCTCAGTTTTTCAAACAATTATAGAAAGGTTGAACAGGTATACCAGAAGAACAACCTGGTATCAGGACATTGGCCAAAGCTAAGACTATGAGCACTGACTACATTCCAGCTGTAGTACTGAAGATTTGTACTCCTGAACTGGTTGTGCACCTAGCCAAGATTTTGTAGTGCACCTACAACATTGGCGTCTAACCAATGGCATGAAAAAATACCCAGCTATTTTCTGTATTCAGAATCTGTCCTTACCAAGTCTAGTCATATATTACTGTAAGCACACAACATTAAGATTGTTATTGTAGAAAGCTAGTGATTGAATGCTTCTATGTTTAGAAAAGTTCTGGTGTGGCTGCTTTTAAATGGCCAGGTGAATCTTATCCTGAAACAATCTGAATTACTCAGTTTTGACTTTTTGATTTTTTTCTTTTCCTAACTGAAATTGCTAAATTGTGCATCGTTACCTTTTGAATTGAGCTTGACTCTGTCCATGGTTAGTGTAATTGATTATAGGAAGAATCCTATTGAACAAATAGTAAAGCTATATGTACACTTGTAGTAGCTTATGGTATGTTTTCAGCAGATTCAATGCTCCTTTCATTTCATTGGAAATTTGTTTTGAGTTTGAATGTCAAACCTTGTTATAAAACATTTTGGAAATTGTCATTCATCTCTTTCAGAAACGTTTGGTGATTTTTGAGTATATGTCTTGAAATTAAATTCATATTTCAATCCAAACTGCTATGTACCATCCAGTTTTGTCTTTTGAAACCTGAGGAAAATACTTTTGAAAAATGTATGGTCATGCAATTGAGCAGACCACAATGTAATTTGGTAAAGTTTAAAAGAATTGAATAATGCTCTGCAGGAGACTGGTTTGTAACCATTTGTCTTCAAAAATATTTAACATTTTAATATAAGAAAGCAGAGCAAAATAATACAAAGTTTAATTTGCATATTATTAACAATCCATGATGAACTACATAGCAGGAAACCTATTTGTCAGGAAGTGCTGGAGAAACTCTGGTCTGGCAGCATCTGTAGAGACCAACATCATGATTCCTAATTTCTAAAAATAGTACTTAATTTCTACAATTGAATTTATCCAGTTTTCTACTGTCAAACTTCAATTCATAAGACTTTTTCTGTCTACACATCTGAATTTCTCCAACACTTTTATTTCAGATTTCCAGCATTCGCTGTCCTTTGTTTTTATTTAACATTTTTATCAGGGCAGATTTCATGCTATAAGGTTGATCAACAATTAATGATAGGTCTTGTGAATCATGTATATTATATCTGTATTCATTCTGTTTTTTTACACAGTTTAGTTCTTCAATTGATATGAACAAAGTCATAGAATTTCGTTAAATGTCGAGTTTGGAAAGAGCATTTCCTTTTCAGCTGTTGTTAGCCAGACCAAGAAAGGAACAAAAGCATTTAGTGTTTAAATTATTGCAGGATCACCAAGCAAGATACATTGCAAGCCGAGTTTTAAACAAAAGGACAAGCACGTTGATTTTCATTCTAATTTACTATTCAGGTTGATGTATGTGAATAATTTACTATTCAGGTTGATGTATTTTAATTTTATCATTATTGTTAAAGTTTAAGTATTTTCATGAAAGTGTTTGATAAGCTAATCGTTTGTCAGTTCGTAATGCAATTTCAGAAATAAATTTGAAATGGATTGCATCGGTTACAGATCTCATTGTGACATGCATACACAGCTTCTGGCTCATATCTCTTCCAAAACAGGTTGCCAAATATTTTAAATGTAAAGGCCTTTGTGAATATCTAATTCATGTTCCATGTGCTATTTTTAGTATTTTGTTTAGTTTCCCAAATTGAATTTAACAATAGAAAATGGGATAAATTCGATTGAAATATTTTGAAGTCTATTGTAGTTAGAGGTCATGTCCTTCAAGAGGTTACCCATGTTTGTTTAATAAGATCAGAATAAAAGAGACTTTGTTTACTTTGGGAGTCAGAGCTAAATTAGCTTAAAAACGTTCCGATCCAATACAAAATTGTAACTGAGACATACATAATTGTCAACATCAGATTAAGGAATGTAGAGCAGGCTGTGTTGTCATGGACATGTATGGATCTTAAGCAGGTTCTCTAGTTTCAATTTTTGTGTTTTCTGGAAGGTTAGTTATAGCCTGAAGCAAAGAAGTGGCTTCAGACAGTACAAATATTGTCGTTAGCAAGTACCAGGCACTTGGGACATAAAACTCCCTAGAGGCCACTAGTCATTTTGTGTGGCTGAGAATAGGGCTAAAGGAAATCCACGTATAGTTTTTTTTTTGGGGACAGCTGAGAAATATTAGAGCTCAAAGAAACTCCAAGGGTAGAATCAGCTGAGTGAAGCTAGCTATCTGCAAAATAGCTGGAATTGTGCCCATGGGTAGGTGCTGGAGTGCAGCATCAGAAATCCAGTGAAATGCAGTTTGTTAGATTGCTCATATCCTGCTGGTTCAGTCATTTAACCATGCATGGCAGAGTGGCTGGTGGGAGGGTTTCACAGCTATGTCTTCAAAATGAAGAATTGGAATCTCTTACAAAGGAGTCAAAATTTGAATTAGATTTATTAATCTATAGTGGCAGTAATGTCAAGCGAATGCTGCTGAGAATTTTTTAGGATCTGTCTTGACTGCATTTGCTATTTGATGAACTGAATGTTGTTCGACCACGATTTGACTGTTACCCATATTTGCTTAATATTTATTCTGGATATTAGAGTATTGTGTGTGTGTGTATATATACTATAGTAGATTACTGTTCTAGTTTTGTACAGTTAGACTTGTTTCTTAAATCTATCAGATCTTGTCATGTTAGTCTCAGCAAGTACGTGGGATCCCAAACTTTGTCAACTATAAGCAAAGTTACTGGTTCTTAGCCAGATGATAGCATTAATGCTGTTAATGTGGCAGTCTCTTCAGGGATCAGAACAATAGTTTTGTATCACAGAATAGCTTTGCCCTTCTGAATAATGTACATGTTTGTTTTTTCTGTTTCTTTTCCTGAGATTTCCAATTCCCCATGTCAAACCTCTGTCTAAAGGAAAGGCATGACCAACTATCCCATTTTGTAATCAATCACTAGGACCTACGAATGATTTCTAAAGTTTTTGAACAGAAGCAACGTTTTTGAGAAAAAACATTGAATGTTTTAGTCAAAGGCGATAAAATAATTTAAAACCAACTGTTGTTCCATGTCTTTTTAGGTGTTTTCCGGGAGTTTGGAGGAGCACGATGTGTGCACAACATAGTTAAGTACCCACAATGTCGGGAACCTGCACTGATGATTATACAGCAATTAATTTTATCCCCTAGTGGAGAAGACGATATGGGAACATTGTTAGGACTAATGCATACTGCTTCATCTGCAGAACTGCAACTCAAAACTGATATTCTGACAGTGAGTACATGATAGTCAAGTTTTAGATTCTGTTTTCCATTATTGTTCTTTCTTTGATTATACCCTTTTGCTTGAATCATTCAGATTTGATACTATCTCACGTGATTATCTGGTACTGCATGGCTTGTGTTGGTTGGCTGCCTGTTTTTATTTTTTGGAAGAAAAATAAGGTCAAACTAAATCTGTTTTATGAATTGTGAAATAAAGTAATATGTTTAGGTTGACTGTAATGAATGTAACTGTGAACTGCATTTTTATTTTGTTGAAATGCATGTCTCCGCAGGCTCTTCTCACTGTGCTGAGAGAAAGTCACCGCACACGAACAGTGTTCCGAAAAGTTGGGGGATTTGTTTATGTCACGTCGTTGTTGGTTGCCTTGGAGAGATCCTTGAGTTATGAACCCAAGGGAGTGTGGGAAAATGTGAACTCAGACCAAGCCTTTGAACTGGTGCATACGGTTATTTGTACATTAACAGCAGCAATGCGTTACGAACCTGCTAATTCTCATTTTTTCAAAACTGAAATTCAGTATGAAAAACTTGCAGATGCTTTGCGTTTGCTTGGCTGCTTCTCAAATAGACGACAGTTAGATTCGGTTACTTGCTGTCCTTCAAATATCCAACCATTTCAAAGAATGCTTGAAGATGATGCACCATTGGAATCTGTTTGCCCAACATTGAAATATTGTAGTAAAGTTTTTTCTTGTCTCTACAAAATGGCCACAGACTCTTTTGATAGGTAGGAATGTCATTTTGATCTTTCCTAATTTTGCTTACAATGTTAAAATTTTATTTTAAAAATAACAATGTTTAACAAACATTGCACGTGTATTAGTATAGTTAGTTCCATTATATTTCAGATTTAATAATGGATTTTGGTAATTTCTATGTTTTGTATCAAATATATATTGAATAAGCTAAATATTGTTGGTTGGTATACTAATATTCTTTGGCCATTAAATCCGAATGGGATAGATGGATGCCTGCTATATTTAAAGTTCTGGGAGTGAGTACCTGAAAAAAGTGGCTTGCATTCTACAATAATTCATAGAGTTGTAATGTATATATGTTATCAGGGGGCTAAATTTTGACACTATCTGCCTTTGTTTAGGTAACCCAGAACTGATCTATCGGTTTTTTTTTTGGCAGTTTTATCTTCGACCTTATGGTTTGCACTTGTCCTTTGCTAATGTCTTTTTCATAAAACTACTCATTTCATTTCTAAATATATTTGCTTTTCTATATGGCTTTATCCTCTTGACAATAACAACGAAAGTTTATTTGATTTTCATTAGCAGTAGAATATTTATTGGGAACAAAAACAAAATTGCTGGAAAAGCTCAGCAGGTCTTGCAGTGTCTGTGAAGGAAAAAAAGAGTTAATGTTTCGGGTTCTGAGGAAGGGTCACCGGACCCGAAACATTAACTCTGTTTTTTCCCCTCACAGACGCTGCCGGACCTGCTGAGCTTTTTCAGCAATTTTGTTTTTGTTCCTGATTTACAGCATCCGCAGTTCTTTCAGTTAAATATTTGTTGCGAATCTGATGCTTTGGCCAAATCTTGGAATCAAAATTTTGGAGATAAGTAGCTGCCTTCTTTGTAACGACTTTGCTTTGCATTTGTTTTGTGTCAAGTTTCTCCAAAACATTATTAAGTTGGACTTTTTTAGGAGAACTTGCAAGGTTTTATGTCGCTTGCAGGGAAAGCCTGCTAAACACATGTAAAACTTCAAATTTATTTACATCATATTTATCAGTACAGTTGATGTAATATTTTGTATCACAGTTCTTCAAAAACACAGTGCAGAGACTTAGTGATTCCTTGTGAAATTGCTCTTCATTCTTTGAAGAGTGACCTGAAAGTAATTAACCAGACCAGTTGAGGGAAGATTTTTTTCCCCACTTCTTTTGAATCTTTGACTTTTTGTTTTTACATTCCTTGACTGTTCAGAGCATTTTTAAGTTTAGAATTCAGCAATGTCTCGACATGCATATCCATTGCTAAGTCCACACTTACGCTGATTTCTTTTTGGAATAATTACTGCTTTTGGAGTCTACCAGAGTATTTCTATATGAAAAATGCACTTTGAGGGGAGAGGCATGCCATAAAAGTAGATCAAGTTTAGAAATTTTATGCACTGAATTCATAACAGATATAAACCACTAAGGAGCTTGAGTTAAAAGAAGAGATTGACTTGGGAATGGAAATAAGATGAGGAATGAGGGTGAAAGTTGCAGGAATGTAATGAACTGAACATTTAAACAAAAAGAAGCTGGTATGGTCAGCTAAATTAGGAAATGGCTAACCAATAATATTAGAGGAAATGTGAAATCTTGTTTACAAGTTCACAGCGAATGATTAATAATTGTAAAACAAAACTAATAATTGAGCTATTCTAGCATCTCAAAGATGATATACAATCAGGTGATTGTATGCCGTAGGTATCTTTCTTTGGAAAATCTGTTTGCGTTCTCTTTTAATGTAGAAGTTGATCTTCAGTTGGTAGAGGCAGGCTGATGACCAGCAGAAGTAAAATAGAATTTTCAGATTGGACAGCACTGGTAGAATGACGCAGCCAGAGGATCACTTGCATCTGGGCTGGATGTATTCTGTACATGCATATTAAAGAAGTGGCTAGTGAAATTGGTCACATTCTTTTGGTCATATTTTACAACTTTAGAAATAGAAAGAATAACTCAAGCAATGTTAATCTTCTAAAAGGGGGCATGGAAGTAACCCATGAGTTACAGGTCAGTATACCTCACATCCATTGTGAATAAAATATTAGAGGTAATAATTGCTCAGCCAAGGTGGCAAAAGAAATCATGAGAGATCTTTCCTGAAAAGTTTTACTTGAGGAAATGGTACACCATGTTGATTATGTAAATTTTGTGGATGTGATGTACTTAGCTTTTAGCAGATCAGTGGTGCTCAAGGTAGGAAGTTCTGGATGAGGATGAGTGCCTCTGAGACAAAGGGAAAATTCTCTAAACTAGAGAAAGCAGGAATGTTTGTGAATTGACCTGCATTGGTGTTGAAGAGTCAGCAAGGAGTTGATGGTGCACAGGATGTTATTGTCTATAAATTATTCTAATCTGGGGAAAAATAATTAAATGAGTTTCCAGATATATGCATGATTTAATTGTTGGACACAATTATTAGAGGAAAAAGAATATTCATGATTTTCTCATTAATGAGAACTGGATGCCACTGACTTAGCCAGCATATCTGATTATCCATCTCAGTTGTCCTTAAGAAGGATGGTACCTTTAACTGTTGCAGTTAATATGGCATGGAGATCACAGTGATGATTGTGATTGATATTATTAGTTCATAGCATCTCAAATAGTTTTGAGCTCCAGCTTTGTTCTGAATCTGTATCAATTGGCATGGTTGATGACATCAAAGTCTGCACAGATACTGTGTAGGGGTCAGCTTTACCAACTTTGCCATGGAAAGGAGCATCTGGGGTAGGTAGGTTGATAAGGAGGAGATCAAGTGGGTCTTTCTCTCATGTTGGCTGTTTCTCACTAGCCACCGGCCCTGTCTGGCAGCTGTCCTTTAGGACTTGCTCAATTCAGTTTGAGGTGGTGCTGCTGAAATGTTGTTTGTATCAGATACTTCAATGTATTTCCCATTCTATACTGTTACCATTCTTTGTGCTTCTTCAAAATGGTGTTCAACTTGGAGTACTAATTTATCAGATTGCAGAGGCATGGTGGGCTGGTGATTAGCAGGAGATTGCCTTGTTCCTGTTTGACCTGATGCCATGAAACCTCATGGATTTGGATTCCCAGGGCCCTCCCTGGTGGTTGTATAACAGTGTTATCACTTCTGTTGAGTCCGTCCTGCCCATGGAGCTGCGCATACCCAGTAATAGGGATGAAATAATCTGACACCTGGAAAAATATATAGTTATGAACATAATGTAGGTCTTGCAGCAAGAACATAAGCAAAATATTTCCAGGTTGTGGGATAAATGTACCTTGAGATTTGTGGTAAGTAAATCACTTAAACCAGCAGCATTGTATGAGGCAACAAAGTTGAGATCAGTGGGGTTCAAAGGGGAAATGTATTAGTAACTGAATTTGTTATAATGGAAATTAGTTTATTGACTAATGGTTATAACACAAAGGTATCATTTCATGTGTTCCTCAGTGAAGTGCTGCAAAGTACCTGCATGACCCCACTTATCCCATATAATTTATACTGGAGTGATTATTGCCAAAAAGGAATTGGTCGAAGTCCTTGTTTAGAAATTTCGGCACTGTGGCTCAGTGGTTAGCACTGCTGCCTCACAGTGCCACAGACCCGAGTTTGATTTCAGCCTTGGGTGACTGTCTGTGTGGAGTGCGCACGTTCTCCCTGTGTCCGCAAAGGTTTCCTCCAGGTGCTCCAGTTTCTTCCCACCGACGAAAGATGAGCAGGTCAGGTGGATTGTCTATGTTAAGTTGCCCATAGTGTCCAGGGATGTGCAGGCTAGGTGGATAGCCATGGGAAATTCAGGATTACAGGAATAGGGTAAGTGTTTGGGACTGGGTGGGATGTTCTTTGAATGGACGGTATGGACATGATGGGCCAAATGGCCTGCTTCCAGACTGTAGGGATTTGAGGCAAAAAAATCCTGTTAGCCTAGTTTTTCAGTTTCCTGAAAAATAATGCCTTGAACTCTGAAGTCCAATATTATACAAGCATTTTATTACGTTTTGACTGAGAATCAAATGGAAGTGGAATGTTAGTTTACGATTTAACTGATTCAAGAGTACAGATTTTAAAGAATACATTCAATGGTTTCAACTAAAGAGGTTAAAAGAGCTTTCATTTATATTGCATTTTTACATTTACTGGATGTCTCAGTGCTTTGAACCCAGAACCTGTAGACTTGTGTGTGAGCCCAGCTGATAGCTGTTTCCAGTTAAGAGCATTTTGTAGGCAGTGTACAAGTTTGTTTGTGTGAATTCGTATCTTGAGTCAAGATTGTTCTAATAAACATACCGCTATTTCAACAGCTGGTTGAAATATTTTTCGGGCTGCATGGTTTTAAAAAAATACAAACCTTAAATTCCTTGCATTTGAAACAGCTACCAACTTTTTAAAAAGTATATTTAATGTAGTAAAGTATTTTTAGTATGTATTCAGGTATTTCTTATGCACTTTTGGCAAAGTTTATAATCATATCCACTTAGAAACTTGGTTTGTTTCTCCTCTTCGCACCCCGTTTTCTGTTTACATTTTTTCATCCATGTTAAACTGCTTTTTGTCCTGCTTTTCAAAATGTTTCCTCAAACCAATTTGCAATCCTACTGTAATTCTACTAACAAACTTGTGCTTATTTCCTCTTCCTAACAATCTTTGTCCAACAATGTTTGCTTTTCTTTTGTTTATAGTCTTGCTGAACAAGTTCCGCCTTGCTTGACACATGAGACTTCCCTTCCCTCTCCTTGGAGTACTCCAGTTCTGTCCAGAAAAAGGTATTAGCTCAGCAGGGATAATTAAGCCCATTCTTTCTAATATTGATGCATCACCTATTTCTAATGTCGTTGTGTATCTTTCATACTTCAGTCCTTGAGTGTTTAATGTATATTCTCCTTTTTTTTTAATTTCTGCCTTGCTATTTTCTATGCTGCTGTCCTCCAACCACTTAAAGATGATGGGACTTGCAGGTTTCTTGATTGCATCTTCAAATTAAGTTTTTTTTTTTTTATTTTTTTTTTATTTTTTTTTTATTTTTTATTTTTTTTTTAAATTCACGCATTGGATGCACACGTCACTGGTCAGGTGAGCATTTATAGCCCATCCCCAATTGACCACAGAGCATTTAACAGTCAACCACATTGCTGTGAGTCTGGAGTCACGTAGGCCAAACCAGGTGAGGAATGCAGATTTCCTTCCCTAAAGGACGTTAGTAAACGATTATGAGAGACCCTAGATTTTATATTAATATGGTATACCACGAGCAGTGAATGGTCATTTGCCAGCAAGGTACCTGACAAGTTGTTTGGCCAAGCATTTCAATGCCAATTCCAGTAGGCATTCAAATCTTACTTGGTGTGTGCAGTCCAGTGTTTTAAAATAGTACGTGACCTGCTCAATTTAAAAACCATCTTTAGAGTCAATTTGTTTAAACTCTCTTCATTGAAGTGTGAACTTAACTGGAAGAGGGAAACCAAAATGCTAACTGAAGTTGCTATACAGTCTAAAGTGAGCAATCTGTGGCAGCCTTGCAGCTTCCAAGATGCTAATTTGTGCCATGGTCTTCAACTTTAAGCTTCCCCCAGTGTCACTTAAGCATTTCACTTTGGTATGATCGTCTTTTCAACACTTATTATGGAGCAAGACAGTGGCTGAGAAGGCACATGATTTGCTGACCTTTGTTTTGTTTGGCCCACATCTTGGCCAGCTGAACTTCTTGTTTCCGTTCACTACTTCCAATGCCCTTACACGTGTTCTGAACAATGTGGCTGAGCCAATGGAGATGATATGTATTAACAATTAGTGGAGGTTGATGGAGTTAGCACACACTGGCACTTTTCAGCTGGTGACTTCTTCCTGTCAAAAGATTCTGAGGAGAGGTCTGAGAGCATGAAGATGGAAATTTTCAGCCTTGTCTTTTGCCTAGCATATGTTGACCAGGTCTCGCCATGGAGGAAGAGTCGGTTAAGGAAGCAGGATGGTAGCCTTGCAGTTTGGTATACCCAGTCAGGATGTTATCCCCCACACACTCTTACGTAGCTTGAGCACAACAGCTGAACCTTTTTTATTTTGTGTTCATTTCAGCTTCACGTGACAAATTGTAGGTGTTTGTGGTGCTTAGATGAATGGGTCAGCAATTTCCAGTGTCACACTGTCGTTGCCAATAGAGAGGCAGTATTGCAATATCCTACATCATGACGTTTTGATTTCCACATGTAGATGACCAGACCAAGCTCTCTTTAGACATGAGGGAGTCTCTCCATTTCCCACGGAACATATTCCTCAATATGGAATGCTAGTGCAGCAGCATCGGTATAAAGAATCTCTCAGAAGAGGACTTGGCTTGCCTTTGTCTTGGATCTCAGATGAGCAAGGCTGCAATGCTTTCTGTCAGTTCTGGCATGTAAATAGACATCCTCTATAGGAAGGTAGCAGACGCTTGATGGTATATAATAGTAAAGAGAAGAATATGCTGAAGCATAACAAGTGCAGAACCAGGTTATACCCTACTGAAGAAGGGTCACTGGACCCAAAATGTTAACTGTGCTTTCTGTTCACAAATGCTGCTAGACATGCTGAATTTCTCGAACAATTTATGTTTTTGTTTCAGACTTCCAGCATCTGCAGTTTTTTTAGTTTATTATCATGCTACACCCTATAGTGGATCTCAAAAGATTCTTATGCTGCACTGACATAGTTGACCTTATCCATGAAGTAATGGAAAGAGAATATCATGCTGAGCAGCTTAGGTGGACATTCAATATTTTCTAGCAACTTAATTAGATCACATTTGTTCACATGGTGAAATGTCTTGGTGATATCAATGGAGACCATATATAGTGGTCACCTTTGTTCATGACATTGCTTTTGCCAACGTTGGACGGAGAAGTTTGTGTATCGTGATACTTATGAAACTATACTGGGCTTTGGGGTAGAAGCATTACATAAAATCTATTTTGACAAGTGCAGTATGGATGAATCTTTTTTCCAATGACCCTTAACAGGGTGATGTCTCAATAGTTATAATCACTGCAGTTACCCTGGAATACTGCCCCCTTCAGCATAAACTGAAATTGTGGAGATGCTGCAGGCATGCTGGTTTCCGATGCTTGATGTGTTCAGATGGTTTAACCTCAGACCCTGGCAGCCCATGGCAAGCGAGCCAGTGGTTTTGCTTAATTACATTATGGGTGCAATATCGACCTCTAGTGGCAGGCAGGTTATGTGATGGCCACGGTGTTCTCCTAAAGCACAGTTCAAAGTACTCCACTCACTCTGCAAGTCTATGATAATCTTCCTTGCCTTTGTTTTTACTGGAGCCATTTTCTTTAGTAATAGAATCAAAAAGGCAATGACTCTTTTATGTATATCTCTAGCATTCTCTGTCAAAGGATTTCTAGAAATTCTGGTAAAGTTGTAACCAGTGGACATTGACACACCATCCAACAATCTGTTGGATTTTTTTGTGTATTCGGGTCTCTTGAATCTCGGATGTTTGGATCTCTTTTGTCTTTGAGTGGTCACTTGGCTTCAATAACATGACCCATTACTCTGATATTAGCCTCAAAACAGTCAACATTTTTCAGCTCTTGCTGTCCTGTGCTGATTGTGTAGCTTCCTAAATGATGTCTCAAAGTGTGAACCATTTTGCTTCTCCACTTCTTTGTGGGAACACCAGAGAGTGCCTGCTCGATTGAGTTAAGCAGTTTTTGATTTTTATCCATGTAGGCATTATTGCTGATGAGATAAGGATGGCAGTTCTGCTTTGACTGTGACAGTTTCAACTGTTGCATCCTAATCCTGATGCGCAACAAGAGTGGCCTCCATCACTATCAGTTCTGTGGTATGTGTTCGATGAGATTGCTGTTCAGAGAGAGATGCCTGGTAATGAGAGATCTGGCTGGTGCTAGTGTTCTGACCTTGGATGTCCCAGAACATCTTGTGACTTAATAGCAGTGTCAATGATCTTCTGGAGCTGGTTTTCACCTCTATTGGAGCATTGGATTGGATCGTAGATGTTCAGAGTTAACTGGTCCTGTTTTAGTTGAGTAGCTGATTGAGACAATGCATTCTGAACCATTGGTGAAATGGGACTGAGGGTCTGTTATCGAGAGTAACAAATTACTTCTAGCGAAGCTAATGCTTGACTTGTGTTTCTTTGGCCAGTGATCTGTTTTTGATGAGCCTGGTTTCTTGGAGGGAAGCTGTATCAATGTTCAACCAATTATGTTCCATGTTGATCAAAGCTATCTTGTGTGCCTTATCAATTAGCTGCAAGTCTTCTGTTAATCCAGTAGTCTTAATGTTCCAACTTGCCATTCAAAGATTTGCCATCTTTTTGTTTGTGCCATTCAGTTGCCTGGCATGATAGATTCCATTTACCTTTTGAGCAGAGATTCCAAGCTGCAAACACCCTTTGAAGCAAAATTTATGGAGACCTTGAGTGGTCCATACATCATCAGCCTCCCTCTCAACCTCCCTAGTAAAGTGCAAAGGAATGCAAAACACTGTGTTCAACGCCACCTTTTTTAGTCACTGGTTGGGCATGGGTATAGCTGGCCAGTATTTGTTACCCATCCCTAGTTGGGGAGTCAGGATGTGAGTTACTCACTGCAGTATTCCTAGCCTCTGACCTGCTCTCTTACTGTGATTATGCTGCAAATCCAGTTGAATTTCTGGTCAATGAAAATGCTCAGGATGTTGATAGTGAGGGATTTGATAGTAATGCCATTGAATGTCAAGGTGTGGTGGTGAGATTCAGTCTCTAATTGGATATCATCATTGCCTGGCATTCGTGTGGCACAAATGTTACTTCGGACTTTTCACCCCAAGCCTAGGTATTGTCCAGGTCTTGTTGCATTTGAACCTGGACTGCTTCAGTTTAGATCTTAGTCTGCCTTCAGGCTCTGAATAATTTTGTCAGGATTCTTCCTATAGTCTTCGGATCCCTTGAGGTATCCTTATAACAATGAAGTTATTTGTCCGTAGCTGCAAATATGTTTCATGAGTGCGAGGGCATGTCCACGTACCTGCTGGTGGACTTGAATGTCTTGAGGTAGCAAATCTTCAAAATCCTCTGAGGCATTAACCTGTAGCTGCGAGGAACCCACATTTTGTATGTTCTCATGAGGAGAGTCAGCTGAGGACTTGCTGTTGGAGAGACTTTGCACTGATAGAGAGAGACTGGCTGTATTTTTTTAGATTGCTGCTGGCCATTATTGCGGTCTGAAAATGAGACATGTAACGGTACCCAAGCAGAAAGCACGCTAAGTCTCTTTACCCACATAGTGGCCATTAGACTTATCACTGAGCAGTATATAAAAATTATATAAGCTGTAGTAATCTTTATCTAAGTTGTTTCTTCCTGTGACAATGTTCCGTTAAATGAAACCTTTCATTCTCGCACTACTCCTTTTAACATATGTTCTATCATCCTGACCTTTTTGTCTTTTTTCCAATGATTATGTGGTTTGGATAGTAATGCTGATACTATCACCCAATGCCCACTGGCTTACACTGGATAAAGTGCCTCACATTTCACAAGTTTACATCTGGTATTTAAGAATTATAACAATTAACTTTCTCCACTTCAAAACAAGTTAAGGGGAAATTATATATTTCTATTGCACCATGATTATCATATTTCATTGAAAGCTTAATAGTGTTACACTGTTAATGATACATGGCATTCAATTCTTTTCTTCTCACTTACAATCAATTAAAACAATTAGGTTTATCAGGTACTGTAATGTTGATATCTTGAAACTGATGATTTGAAATTAAACCAATCTAAATAAGACATCCGAATATTGAAAAGTTTGGGTAGGTTTGGCATTGTAAAATGAGGCGTGTATTTTGCTGAGTTTCTTCACCTGTTTGTAACTTAATTTGAAGCCTTTGACTGTTGATAAATCACAGCCAATTAGATATTTAAAGATGGATAACTTGTGGAAAGGAAAGAAAGATATTGATTCTAAAACAAAAAAGAAGTGGTATTATATCAATATGACAGCAAAATTATGCATTTCTGTCTGTTTTCTGAATAATATCTCTTAAATATTTAAAGGACCATTCTTTCCTGAAATGTATCCTTTTCATGATGCTGAATATATATTTGACTCTCATTTTGAAGCATGAAAACCAGACATTCTACAGATCGAGGTTGCTCTCTAATTATCTCACTGTTTATAATATTTGAGTATCAGGATACAGATGCGATGCAGCATTTTATTTGGGGAACTGTGACTGATGAAAAGGGCTAGCGTGTTGACTTCTGAATGGTTTGATTGCATAGTAATAGGAATATGTAAATGAGTATGTATGATTGAATATCTGCAAAAATACAGAAATATCGGAGATTTTTAGTTTATAACTCTTTGCTTTAAACTGATCATATGGCGATGGATATGTATTTATTTCTTTTGTAGGCCAGGCTATCACACAGTATCAACGCCTCCTGTGTTTCCAGCCAAGTCTGTCACAGAAGTGAAGCTACAAAATGCGTTGACTTCCTTGCATTCTTCTGATCCAGTCATAATACATCCTGGAGCTGTGCTTGCAATGTTAGACCTGTTGGTGTCAGTGAGTGTCAGTGAACAATTTGAGGTAGGGAAGGTGAGATTTAGAAATAAAACTATTACTGAAATGTTAGAATTTTCACCACCGACTAGTTTAACTTTGCTATGATTAGATGTATGTATCGTCTTAGACATATGTTCAGCTAAACTCCTCAGGATTAAAAAAAAAATTGCAATAAAGTAAAATCTTCCCTTCCCAGTTTTTCTCCAATATTAAATCTATTTTCCATCAATTTTTTAATGTAATAGCCTCTTCAGTTTAATGATTGACTTGACTTCAACAGCCATATGTTCTGATTCCTTTTATTGCTTCAGAACAAAATATTTCATGATTTCTTTATATTGAGGCTAATATTGGCTTCTTGGTGAGAGGGGATGAAGGGACAAGAATCTTCAGTTTTGTCAGAAATGGATGTGAGCAGGTAGACCTGTTTTGCAATCCACCTGAAATATTGTGGATGCCTTAATCGTGTGATGGTTATCATCAGCAGTCGAGCTGGATGAGTTAATTTCCTAAATTATGTTTAACTTTTGATATTTTAACACCTTGTGAACATGAAGTTCAGGTATTAAGTTGCAAAATTGCTTACCAAATTGCACCTACAACTCATTAATCTCTCTCTTTTGACAATTTACTCAGTTTACCATTTTATTTCCACGTTCTGTGCCTTTTGTTTTCCTTTATCTTATAACCTAAAAGGTTAACCCCACATGTGCTGGGAGTACTATCAAGGGATTCTATCCCACCCAAATTCAATCCTGATCTCGTTCTACATAAAAAATGTACGGACTTTTTAGCTGATGATAACTGTATGCCATTAAGATTTAGATTTAAAAAGCGCTCTGTTTCCCTCTAGGCCCATTGCTCCACAGTTCACAACATAAATTTAAATGTTTTTCCCAGTTATCAACGTGACCGATTTATATGATGTATCTATGTTATGTTTCGGGTAAAAAGATCCATTAAACAAGTTTCTTCTTTAACACACGATTGTTGATTTATTATAAAATTTCAACAAAGATGTCAAACTAGTTAACACGTACTGTTCATAATATGAAAGTATAAATAATTACCCCTCTAAATAATCCAGCACACAGAGGCACATGTGTGCATGTGCATCAGTCAGAAGTCCCACGACACCAGGTTATAGTCCAACGGATTTATCTGAGATCACAAACTTTCAGAGCGCTGCCTCTTCGTCAGGTGAATGAGTCACTGACAATACTCTCCTTCTGACAGATATATACCAGTCCCACGGCCACTTCACCTGATGAAGGAGCAGCACTTTAAAAGCTTGTGATTTCAAATAAACCTGTTGGACTATAACCTGGTGTGGAATGACTTCTGACTTTGTCCATCCGAGTACAACACCGGCACCTCCATTCACATGTACACTAGGTAAAGGAAAAGGAGAACCGATTTCTCTGCAGAAATTCACTTGTGGGGACAAACCGAAATACTGTTTGGTCAATAATTCTTAATTTTTTAAAGCAAAATGATAATGTGTGAAATATTCAGTTTGGCATTTTGGCACGTGGACAGAACGCTGACCAGGGATAGTCCTCTCTGAGCTCACTGTCGAGGCAGGCATTCAGGGAACATTGTGACGAACTCCCTCAGAAGCTTCTCACAAGATCAGAATTCCTGGTACCACGTTGTTTGCCTCATGTCTAAAGTGATCAATTTAAAGAAAAATAGTATTCACAGTACTTGAGAAAATCAATTTTCTGCGGTGCTTCAAACTTCCAGCCCTCCAAACAATTACATAAATATCCTTGTTGACAATAGCAAATTAATTTATTTTATGATCCGCAATCCCACCACCCTTCAGACCATGAAACCTCTTTGCTAGCCGAGAGGACCTGAATAAGCACAAACTAAGGCTTTACAACTTGCTCCTATCTCATCTGTATGATTCAGTACAGCAATGACTGATATCTTTTATGGACTGAAATGTGGTATCCCTGCTATTTTGTTGTTTGTGTTATGATCCATGTCTGTTAGAACTGGAAAATAACAGAGCTGCAGTAAAATCTGGATATCTGAATATCCAGCATGACTGATCAACTGTTTCTCATTACTGTTTCATATTAGTGTTCTGTGTTTGATGCCCAATTGTACCTTTATTTAAATATCTGAAAGCAATAGTCAAATATGATACAAAAGTACAAATTAATTTGATTTAACCATTTTTTCACTCAAGCATATTTGAATAATTGTGTTCCATATAAAAGTATTAGATATGGAAAATATTGCTATTTATGACAGACTTGCACAAACTACTTGATAATTTTTTAAAATTGTTCATTAGCCTTTTGATGGTCAGAATTAGTGTGCATAAAGCAAATTTCAATTGTCTTCAACTAAAATAATTCCTCAAATAATACCTAAAATAACATTATTGACTATTGTTTAAATGGTGCTAATTGCATAGAAGTAGTATATGTTCATAAATGTTAACTAAAGTTTGCCATCTGCTGGATTGTTTTAAAAAAAAAACATTTTGTTGACTGTTTGAGATCATCCCAGGGTTCTGTGTCAATGTAGAAGTTACAAAATTAAGTTTTTGTAAAAAAAAACATAATATGCTTAAAACTTGGCATAAGACAAGGCTGATTAGCAGTGATGTTAAGGCAAAGTGTTTTTTTGATGTAGATTTGACTGAAGTGGGAACAAAGATGTTTACAGAAGCCCTTCAAGTAGTTTCTGTGAAGCAAGTGTGACATGTAACAAATTTACTTGTTTTTGAAACGCATCTTTGAGTTTCCTCTGAACAATTATTTTCCAGCAGTAAGCTTGTTTGATTTTTGAACCTCTTTAGAATAAAAACTTCTTAAGAAAGAGAACATAGGAAAATGGTGAGTTCAAATGCACCTCAAAATATTTCTAATTAGAAAGCCCTTTAATTTGAGTTAGATAACTGATAGTTGATCCCTACTCATCAGTGCTCTGTGAATAGAATGATTTGAGTACATTAAAAAGATTGATAATTGTTTTTAACAATCCTGACCATACTTTTACAATATTATCATTAGATCCAATATACTTCATACCATTGTATGTTTAAGGAAGCAAGAACGTCTGTTTTATTCTCTGTTACTGCATGAAACAATTTTTCCATGAGGGGCACAGATTGACCGACTCCTCCTAGGATCACTGCATCAGCAGTAAGATAATGTTGTCCATGGCATCAGAAAATTTCAAATTGCTTCATAGCCAATTAAATTGTAAAGGGTAGTCATTTAGTAGCCATTTATGTGCAACAAGATCCCACAAAATAGCAGTAAAATGCATAACCAAATAACTAGATGAATAAGAGATAGTAGGAACTGTAGATGCTGGAGAATTTGAGATAACAAGCTGTAGAGCTGGATGAACACAGCAGGCCAAGCAGCATCAGAGGAGCAGGAAGGCTGACGTTTCGGGCCTGGACCCTCCTTCAGAAATGGGGGAGGGGAAGGGGGATCTGAAATTAAAAGGGAGAGAAGGGGAGGCGGATAGAAGATGGATGGAGGAGAAGATGGGTGGAAAGGAGACAGACCGGTCAAAGAGGCGGGGATGGAGCCAGTAAAGGTGAGTGTAGGTGGGGAGGTAGGGAGGAGATATCCGTCCTCCCTGGACTGACCTAGGTCAAGGGGGCGGGAGGAAGTTAAGCAGGTAGGAGGTGGGAGGAGGGGATAGGGGGGAGGAGGATAGGTTAGGGAGGCGGGCACGAGCTGGGCTGGTTTTGGGATGCGGTAGGGGGAGAGGAGATTTTGAAGCTTGTGAAGTCCACATTGATACCATTGAGCTGCAGGGTCCCCAAGCGGAATATGAGTTGCTGTTCCTGCAACCTTCGGGTAGCATTGTTGTGGCACTGCACGATGCCCAGGATGGACATATTGTCTGCGGAATGGGAGGGGGAGTTGAAATGGTTTGCGACTGGGAGGTGCAGTTGTTTAGTGCGAACCGAGCGTAGGTGTTCTGCAAAGTGGTCCCCAAGCCTCCACTTGGTTTCCCCGATGTAGAGGAGGCCACAATGGGAACAGCGGATGCAGTATACCATATTAGCAGATGTGCAAAGTCTTCTTGGGGCCTGGGATGGGGGTACAGGGGGAGGTGTAGGGGCAGGTGTAGCACTTCCTGCTGTTGCAGGGAAAGGTGCTGGGTGGGGCTGGAGGGGAGTGTGGAGGGGACAAGGGAGTCCCAGAGAGAGTGGTCCCTCCGGTAAGCAGATAAGGATGGGGAGGGAAAAATGTTTTTGGTGGTGGGGTCGGATTGCAGATGGCGGAAGTGTCAGAGGATGATGCGTTGGATCCGGAGGTTGGTGGGGTGGTACGTGAGGACGAGGGGGATTCTGTTTTGGTTGTTATTGCGGGGAGGGGGTGTGAATGATGAGTTGCGGGAAACACGGGAGACACGGTCGAGGGCGTTCTCGACCACTGAGGGGGGTAATTTGCGGTTCTTGAAAAACGAGGACATCTGAGATGTACGAGAGTGGAATGCCTCATCCTGGGAGCAGATGCGGCGGAGGTGAAAAATTGGGAATAGGGGATGGCATTTTTGCAGAAAGGTGGGTGGGAGGAGGTGTATTCTAGGTAGCTGTGGGAGTCGGAGGGCTTGAAATTCATATCGGTTTCTAGGTGGTTGCCGGAGATGGAGACAGAGAGGTCCAGGAAGGAGAGAGAGGTATTAGAGATGGTCCAGGTGAACTTAAGGTTGGGGTGGAAGGTGTTGGTGAATTGGATGAACTGTTCGAGCTCCTCGTGGGAGCACGAGGCGGCACCGATACAGTCATCAATGTAACGGAGGAAGAGGTGGTGTTCAGGGCCAGTGTAGGTACGGAAGAGGGATTGTTCCACGTAACCTACAAAGAGGCAGGCGTAGCTTGGGCCCGTGCAGGTACCCATGGCCACCCCCTTTGTCTGTAGGAAGTGGGAGGAATTGAAAGAGAAGTTGTTGGGGGTGAGGACGAGTTCGGCTAAGCGGATGAGGGTGTCAGTGGAGGGGCATTGGTCGGGCCTGCGGGACAGGAAGAAGCGGAGGGCCTTTAGGCTATCTGGATGGGGAATGCAGGTGTATAGGGACTGGACATCCACGGTAAAGATGAGGTGTTGGGGACCGGGGAATTGGAAGTTCTGGAGGAGGTTGAGGGCGTGGGTGGTGTCACGGACATAGGGAGTTCCTGGACCAAGGGGGAGAAAATGGAGTCCAGATAGGTGGAGATAAGTTCGGTGGGGCAGGAGCAGGCGGAGACAATGGGTCGACCAGGGCAGTCAGGTCTGTGGATTTTGGGAAGGAGATAGAAGCAGGCGGTGCGGGATTGGGGAACGATGAGGCCTCCTACCCTCCCTCGACTTCTTCATCTCCAACTGCCGTCATGACATCAATCGCCTCAACCTCTCCATCCCTCTCACCCACTCCAACCTCTCCCCCGCAGAACGTGCAGCCCTCCACTCCAATCCCAACCTTATCATAAAACCCGCGGACAAGGGAGGCGCAGTTGTAGTATGGCGCACTGACCTCGACATCGCCGAGGCCAGACGCCAACTCTCCGACACCACCTCCTACCGCTCCCTTGATCGTGACCCCACCCCCGACCACCAAACCATCATCTCCCAAACCATCCACAACCTCATCATTTCAGGTGACCTCCCACCCACAGCCTCCAACCTCATCGTTCCCCAACCCCGCACCACCCGCTTCTATCTCCTTCCCAAAATCCACAAACCTGACTGCCCTGGTCGACCCATTGTCTCCGCCTGCTCCTGCCCCACCGAACTTATCTCCACCTATCTGGATGCAATTTTCTCCCCCTTGGTCCAGGAACTCCCTACCTACGTCCGTGACACCACCCACGCCCTCCACCTCCTCCATAACTTCCAATTCCCCGGTCCCCAACACCTCGTCTTTACCGTGGATGTCCAGTCCCAATACACCTGCATTCCCCATCCAGATGGCCTAAAGGCCCTCCGCTTCTTCCTGTCCCGCAGGCCCGACCAATGCCCCTCCACTGACACCCTCATCCGCTCAGCCGAACTCGTCCTCACCCCCAACAACTTCTCTTTCAATTCCTCCCACTTCCTACAGACAAAGGGGGTGGCCATGGGTACCCGCATGGGCCCAAGCTATGCCTGCCTCTTTGTAGGTTACGTGGAACAATCCCTCTTCTGTACCTACACTGGCCCTAAACACCACCTCTTCCTCCGTTACATTGACTGTATCGGTGCCGCCTCGTGCTCCCACGAGGAGCTCGAACAGTTCATCCACTTCACCAACACCTTCCACCCCAACCTTAAGTTTACCTGGACCATCTCTAATACCTCTATCTCCTTCCTGGACCTCTCTGTCTCCATCTCCGGCAACCACCTAGAAACCGATATCCATTTCAAGCCCTCTGACTCGCACAGCTATCTAGAATACACCTCCTTCCACCCACCTTCCTGCAAAAATGCCATCCCCTGTTCCCAATTCCTTCGCCTCCGCCGCATCTGCTCCCAGGATGAGGCATTCCACTCTCGTACATCTCAGATGTCCTCGTTTTTCAACGACCGCAAATTACCCCCCTCAGTGGTCGAGAACGCCCTCGACCGTGTCTCCCGCATTTCCCGCAACTCATCGCTCACACCCCTTCCCCGCAATAACAACCAAAACAGAATCCCCCTCGTCCTCACGTACCACCCCACCAACCTCCGGATCCAACGCATCATCCTGCGACACTTCCGCCATCTGCAATCCGACCCCACCACCAAAGACATTTTTCCCTCCCCACCCTTATCTGCTTACCGGAGGGACCACTCTCTCTGGGACTCCCTTGTCCCCTCCACACTCCCCTCCAGCCGCACCTCACCCGGCACCTTTGCCTGCATCAGCAGGAAGTCCTACACCTCCCCCTGTACCCCCATCCCAGGCCCCAAGAAGACTTTCCATATGAAGCAGATGTTCACCTGCACATCTGCTAATGTGGTTTACTGCATCCGCTGTTCCCGTTGTGGCCTCCTCTACATCGGGGAAACCAAGCGGAGGCTTGGGGACCACTTTGCAGAACACCTACGCTCAGTTCGCACTAAACAACCGCACCTCCCAGTTGCGAACCATTTCAACTCCCCCTCCCATTCCGCAGACGACATATCCATCCTGGGCCTCCTGCAGTGCCACAACGATGCTACCTGAAGGTTGCAGGAACAGCAACTCCTATTCCGCTTGGGAACCCTGCAGCCCAATGGTATCAATGTGGACTTCACAAGCTTCAAAATCTCCCCTTTCCCTACCGCATCCCAAAACCAGCCCAGCTCGTCCCCGCCTCCCTAACCTGTCCTTCCTCCCACCTATCCCCTCCTCCCACCTCAAACCCCACCCCCATCTCCTACCTACTAACCTCTTCCTGCCCCCTTGACCTATCCGTGCCCCCTTGACCTATCCGTCCTCCCTGGACTGACCTATTTCCTCCCTAACTCCCCACCTACACTCACCTTTACTGGCTCCATCCCCGCCTCTTTGACCGGTCTGTCTCCTTTCCACCTATCTTCTCCTCTATCCATCTTCTATCCGCCTCCCCCCCCCTCCCTATTTATTTCAGATCCCCTTTCCCCTTTCCCCTCACCCATTTCTGAAGAAGGGTCCAGGCCCGAAACGTCAGCCTTCCTGCTCCTCTGATGTTGCTTGGCTTGCTGTGTTCATCCAGCTCTACACCTTGTTAACTAGATGAATAATGTTGGTTGAGGAGTGATTATTGGCCTTGAAACTGGGTGAGTTGCTCTGTTCTCATGTTAATGTTGTTGAGGCTTTTTTTAATATCTGACTGTAAGAAAAAACCACCAATAAAAATCATGTCTTGCATTCTGTGCAGAAGCATTGCTGCCAATCTTTAGTTTTCTTATGAATTTTTTGAAGTTGAATTCTATAGTTGGCCTTACACTTAAAGCTGAAACAAATATAAAATTTAAATGACAAAGTTAAGTTAAAAAAAAATCCTGTTACAATTAGTGTAGGTTACAAATGTAAAGTTTGTTTAAAAATTGTTAAATATATTCTGCAGTCATAAAATTGACTCGAGCTTCAAAAATAATGGAAACATCGTGACTGAGCTCAGTATTGTAAGAATTTGGTTGTTAGTGTCAGAAGTGTGTAAACTAGAAATTTAAATACAATGTGTTCATTTCTAAATATCTTGTGGGCAGTATGTTCAGTTGCAATTCTTTTTGACTGATATTAAAACATTACAAAGCTGTGGATAATTCTCCTTTAGTCTGTAGCTAAATTGTACTGTGACAATGAGAGTTGTAGATAATGAGGAAAGTTATCAAAGGATACAGCAGGATATAGATCAACTGGAAAGTGAAGAAATGGCAGATGGAGTTTAATCTGGACAAGTCAAGTGATGCATTTTGGAAGGTTAAATGCAAAATGAAAATGCACAATAAATAGTAGGACCCTTAGGGGCATTGATATACAGAAGGATCTTGGTGTGCGAGTCCATAGATCCCTGAAGGTAACAACACAAGTCGATAAGATGGGCGGCTCAGTGGTTAGCTCTGCCGCCTCTCAGCGCCAGGGACCCGGGTTTAATTCCACCCTCTGGTGACTGACTGACTGGCTGACTGTGTGGAGTTTGCACATTCTCCCCGTGTCTGCATGAGTTTCCTCCAGGTGCTCTGGTTTCCTCCCACAGTCCAGAGATGTACAGGTTAGGTGAATTGGCTGGACTAAGTTGCCTGTAGTTTCTAGGAATCTGCAGGCTCGGTGGATGGGAAATGAAGGGTTACAGGAGTAAGGTGGGGGAATGGGTCTGGGTGGGATGCTGTTTGGAGGGTCTGTGTGGACTTGATCAGACAAATGACCTGTTTCCACACTTTAGGGATTCTATAATTCTAAGGTGGTAAAGAGGGCTTATGGTGTGCTTGCCTTCGTCAGTTTGGGCAATCATGTTGCAACTATATAAAACTTCAGTTACATCACATTCACAGTATTCTGGCCACCGCAGTATAGGACGGAAGTGGAAGCTTTGGAGAGGGTAAAAAAGAAGTTTACTAGGATGTTGACTGGATTGGAATGTGTTAATTATAAGGAGAGTTTGGACCAACTTGGGTTCTTTTAGTGTCAGAGGGGCAACCTAGAAGAAGTATATGAAATTGAGTGGCATTGACAGGGTGAGTAGTCAGTCTTTTTTCTAGGGTGGAAATGTCAAATACTAAGGAGCAAAGATTTAAAGTGAGAGGGGGGGGAAAGACATTTTTTTTTTTTACACAGGGTAGTAGGTGCCTGGAATGCGCTGCTGGGGGAGGTGATAGAAGCAGGTACGATAGCAATGTTTAAGAGGTATTTAGACAGTCATAAACAGGCAGGGAACAGAGGGATATGACCATGTGCAGACAGATGGAATTAGTTTAGAATGACTTCATAGCGCAGACATGGTGAGCTGAAGGGTCTGTTTCTGTGCTGTCCTGTTCTATGTTCTAGGAGTTGGATTGGTTGTTTTCTTTATCCTGCACTTTAACTTAACATTTTAACTTTCTTGTCTTTCTTAGCACACAATAGATCTTCAGCTTGCAGTGGCTAATATCTTACAGTCACTCATCCATTCAGAGAGAAATCAGCAAGTGATGTGTGAAGCAGGGCTTCTTGCACGTCTTCTACAAAGGTGTAGTTCTGCTCTATCTGATGAAGATCATCCTCTTCACCCACCACTCCAAAGAATGTTTGAGAGATTGGCTTCACAGTCATTAGAACCAGTAGTCCTGAGGTAAGCTGTGTACATAACATGTTGTGAAGACTCAAATTAATCTTATGTTTATGGTATTGAAGACCATAGAGAATCTGTCACAGCATATTAGAAAAGTTGAATTTGTAGTTAACAACCTTTAGTCAAATCTTCTCCGTTTTTGAAAATTAGTTGTCAGGTGGGTCTTCATCTTGTGGTAGCTGTCCGGTAAGTCAAATTACAGCTTTCATTATTTCCAACTTTACGTTAAGTGCGCATTACTGAAAGGCAAACTTATACAGTAAGTTCACAAATAGAATAAACAAAGCAGTAAGGTTCACCACTTCCTCCATATTCCCTGCTAAGACCAATTTCTGAGCTACTGGCAAATGTAGATGTTGTTCAACCCCATCCAGCCTTCACCAGCCCACCAGTAATTTGAAGGTGGACAGAAGGAAAGACTTGTCATAACCTCGTCTTTTACAGCCAATTTTCAGTTGAGGAACGAAAGCAGTTACCATACCCTGTTGATCAAACATAAGTCACAGCTGCTTCTCCCTGCTAAGAGGGATTTCCTGACATCTTTTGCCCTATTCTTTTGTTCTGCCACCTTTTTCCAAACTGCTTTCACTTTCCCCAACAATCCAAATTTTGCATTTATAACAGGCAATCAGTTATGCCACCACCAAATCAATTTGATTCAGAGCAAGACATAAGAGAGACAGATCTCACATGATGTTGGAATGTCTGAGTTTAACAATCTGTGAAGTATTGTTGAAATGTGGTCACTGGTATAGAAAACGTGGCAGACAATTTTTGTGTAGGAAGCTGCCATAAATTGCAATGTGATCATGATCAGATAAGTTTATTTTTAGTGACAGTTGAAGGATGATTAATAGCCTGAAGACCAGGGCAAAGTCTCCTGCTCACAGGAGGAGAAAATGTGGCTGTGGGTGTATTTGTGTTCACTTGAGAGCAGTTAGAGCTTCAGTTTGTCATCTCAGCACTCGTAGTAGCAGTGTAGTTTTCTACTGGAGTGCAAGTTGAGCCCAAACTTTTCTGATTCAGAGAAAAGTACTACTAACTGATCTTTGAATTGGACTGCCTTCTGCCATATTTATCCATTGCTCCAAGGTCAGCTTGGAAATCAAAGATAACCATTGGCTTCATAACTCTAGCACCAGCCATTTCCTTATACTTTTTCCCCATGTCCCTTCATCTCTTAACATGGGTATCTTTGTCTTTAAGATTTAGACCATCTGTTTAGGTGTCTGTGCTGTTAGCTCCTCTCCAACACCTTTCCTATTCATGTGAAATCTAATTTTCCACAGGTTATTTCTTGTCATAATTCAACATGCAGCTCACCCTCTAATTGCACTATCACCTCCCTGTCTGTCACCTTTAATTTTATCCATGAGGCCAGATTTTCACTCCTTTGCTCCTATTCGTCTTAGCCTGACTATCTAACGGAGACTGGAAATGGTTTCCTCTTGTTGGGTAGTCAACCACCTCATCCACAAGCAGTAACACTGCCTCTTTCTTAAAGAAAAATCCAGTAACTTTCTGTTCTATTTATCGAGCCATGTGTTTTATTTTCTATTTTTTTTTGTTGCCTCCCAAATCTTTGTCTTATCTTTCCTGTAACTTTGTCTTTGGCTTCTGTTTCCTGGTAGAACACTTAATACAAAATTATAATGATATATGCTGTTACTGTGACTAAAGTACATTACCCTTTTTCATTCTATCTACAACATTTGACACTGTTACTGATCGGCCTGTTACCGATACTGATCCTTCAATATCTTACAACCCTGTTATAACTTGGTTTCATTCTGAATTTTTGTCTTTTAGCTTCATTGTCACTATAAACTTAGCCGGAACATCTGTAGCCAGTGACTTCACTTCATGTACTCTTACTACTATGTCTGAAGGCCCAGGAGGGTTGTTTAAAAAATGCAAGTTGTTTTATACGGGCATAGTATATATGGTTCAGATTTGATATTTAAATTGAGATTAAATCCTATGGGAAGTTGGAATTTAGTGATTATTAAAATAAGCAACTAAATTAGTATATTTGATATTTAAACCAAAGTATCAAATGCAGGTATACAAGTCCGTAAGAATATTTTTGTTGAAGGCATTTGCCATTTTGCTTCACATGCTCATTCTGGATATTCTGTTCCTATAATCAGTACATTTTTGGCCACATTTGCCCACTTCAAGATACATTGGCAAAGGAAGTATTGTCTGAAGTCCTGGTGAGTCCTCGAATAACTGAGGAAAAATTGATGGGACAAAGAACATAGAACATTACAGCGCAGTACAGGCCCTTCGGCCCTCGATGTTGCGCCGACCTGTGAAACCAATCTGCAGCGCATCTAACCTAAACTATTCCATTATCATCCATATGTTTATCCAACGACCATTTAAATGCCCTTAAAGTTGGCGAGTCTACTATTTTTGCAGGCAGGGCATTCCACGCCCTTACTACTCTCTGAGTAAAGAACCTACCTCTGACATCTGTCCTATATCTATCACCCCTCAATTTAAAGCTATGTCCCCTCGTGCTAGCCATCACCATCCGAGGAAAAAGGCTCCCACTGTCCACCCTATCTAATCCTCTGATCATCTTGTATGTCTCTATCAAGTCACCTCTTAACCTGCTTCTCCCTAACGAGAGCACACAGTAGTTAAAAATGACATTGGTCGAAGCAAGTCACTTGTCATCTTCACTGGTTCTAATTAGCTTGGACCAGGGTGCAAGTTAGTGATGTTTAATTATTCATAGTTTATGAAAAATATTAAGTGATTTGCTGAGTTGGGTATGTTTGTGAATAAGTGAAAACTATGAGCAAATATTTATTATGACTAGGAAAAATTCAGTAATCCTTAAGTTTATTGTTTTCAAATGTTTGAAGATGTATTGTTTTGTTCTGTTAGTATTGACTCTATTTATATTTAATTGCCTTCAGGGAGTTTCTCCGCCTTGGTAACCCATTGAATTGTGGAGCCTGGGATAAGAAGTTGATCAATGTGTATAGGATCCACAAGCCAAGCTCTCTCAGTTGTGAAGCAGATATTAGAGGTATGCTGTATAATATATACTCATAAATTGTAAAATCTCTTTCTTGTTAAGTGTTTATCTGGAACGTCATAGCTTTCAACATTATTTTGAATCATATCATAGAAATGGATGTATTGATTTTTTTTTTTGCCCATCCATGGTTGTGCTGAGACTTTTAAAGGTCAAGCATATAATGAGAGATTAAAGTCACATGTAAAACACGTAGGGGGCTGGGAGGTTTGCTTTCCTGAAGTAATTTTGTGAACTATTTAAATTTTTACAACAATCTGGCAGTCACTCAAATTTTTTGCATTTGTTTTCCCAATTTTAGCAAAATTTGAACTCAAGATCCTTGGATTACTGGCCCACTGCAGTTCTGGAGAAGAGTCCTGTTGGACTCGAAATATTAACTCTGTTTCCCTCTCCAAGGATGCTGTGAGACTTGATGAGTTTCTCCAGTAATTTCTATATTTTCTTGAGATTTCCAGCATCCGCAATATTATGCTTTTATTTGTATTGTTACATTCTTGTATCAACTGTTTTCTATTATAAAGTTCTTACTTGGATTTGTATAGTGGAGACTGCCACTGTAAACTTAGTCACACTATCATAGAATCCCTACAGTATGGAAACAGTCCATTCGGCCCAACAAGTCCACACCGCCCCTCCGAACAGCATCTCACCCAGACCCATTCCCCTACCCCTGTATTTCCCATGTCTAACCCATCTAACCTAAACATCCCTGAGCAATGTGGACAATTTAGCATAGCCAATCCACCTAGCCTGCACGTCTTTGGACTGAGAGGGGAAACCGGAGCACCCGGAGGAAACCCACGCAAACACTGAGAGAATGTGCAAACTCCAAACTGACAGTCTGGAATTGAACCTGGGTCCCTGGCGCTGTGAGGCAGCAGTGCTAACCACTGAGCCATCGTGCTCCCCGTTAAATTAAGTTATACCATTCCAATGCTGTTGATGTTGGACTACATCCGGAGACGCCTCTAACTTCCTCCAATGATTGTCAGTGGCTCAAATCTTTTCCAGTATCTTCTGGTGTAAATGCTATCTCTCTTTAGGATTCTCCTTTTAATAAACCCATTTAGTGATTCTACAAATTTCATCAAAATCATAATCGTCATTTGTTTTACCTAGGATATTTGATGGTGAGCTAATCTACTTATTCCCATAAATAATTGTAGGAAGTACATTTGCAAAATACTTCCTTACCTCGTGGAATGAATTATTAAGGAAGTAATAGCAGAACATGTGGAAAATTATAACTGATCAAGCAGAGTCAGCATGGCTTCATGAGTGGGAAATCATGTCTGACTAATTCATTAGAGTTTTTTGAAGATGTCTCAATCAGAGTAGACAGAGGAAACCAGTAGACCTGTTGTTTTTGGACTTCTGGAAGGCGTTCAACGAGGTACCTCACAAAAGGTTAAGTCTGAAGATAAGAGCCAACAATGTTCGGAGGCAGTATATTAGCATGGACAGAGAACTGGCTCTGGGACAGGAAACAGTGTGTGGGGATATAGGGTTCTTCTTCAGGTTGATGATCTGTGACCAGTGGGGTTCCACTGCTAGAACTGTAACTGTTCACAATTCTAAATGATTTGGAGGAAGAAAGAGAATGCACTGTAGACAGATTTACAGGTGGCACAAAAATAACTAAAAGACAGTTGTGAGAGAGATACAGACAGTTTACGGGGAGATATTGATAGGTTAAGTACGTGGGCAAAAAATTGGCAAACAGTATAATGTGGGAAAAAGCAAAGATGTTCATTTTGAATGGGACAAAAAAAGAACAAAGCATTATTTAAATAGAAACTACAGAAAGCTGCAGCACAAAGAGACTTGAGGGAACTTTGCATGAAACACAGAACGCTAGCACAGTGGTACAGCAGATAATCGGGAAGGCTAATGGATTGCTGACTTTTATTTCAATTGGGTTAGAGTATAAGAGTAGGGAAGTCTTGCTGCAACTGCACAAGATACTGGTGAGACAGCATTGGGAGTAATGTCAGTAGTTTTGGTCCCCTTATTTGAGGAAAGCTGTTATTTCATTGGGGGCAGTTCAGAAAAGTTTCACTAAGATGATCCCTAATAAAGAGAGATTGTCTTATGAGCAAAGGGATACTAATCATTGGAGTTCAGAGCAATGAGAGGTGATCTCATTTGAAATATGTAGGATTCTTAAGGGGTTTGACGCAGTAAATGATGAGAGCATGTTTCCTCTTATGGGAAAATCTACCATAGACTCAGAATAAAAGGATGCTAATTTAAGGCTGAGGTGAGGAGTAATTTCTTCCGAGGGTTTGACAGTCTTTGAAACTCCCTCCCACAGAGAACTCTGGATGCAAAGTTCTTGTATATTTAAGGCTGAGGCAGATTCTTGATCAGTAAGGAAATCCAGGGTTAAGGGGCAAGGGGAGGAAAGTGGACATAAGAAATGTTAGATTAGCCATGATCCAATTGAATGGTGGAGCAGGCCCACGTGGCCAAATGGCCGCCTCCTGTCCCTATTTCTCATGGTCTTATGACTTTTTGCATGTTTTTAGTTTTTAGCCCTTTTCTGACTGCCCTCTTGCTGCTGTAGTAGTTAAATATTTGTTTAGTCATAGCTGCTGTGCTGTTTCCTAAATGTGTCTTACCTCTGATGATCCAGTTAATGTGTTTCATTCTTGCATTCCTCCCATTGATTTGTATAGGTTTCTTTAATCTCTGTCACGTAATTTACTTATCAATTCATTTAGGGGCCATTAATTTAGTTTGAGTTTATTGGTTTCTTTGAACATATTTTCCCTTCATTCACAAAATCATGATGTTAAAGATCATGCACTCCCTTGTAGTTTTGAACAACCAATTCCATTTGAGTTGCTTTATTTGTTCACTGAATATATTCTCTCAAAAATTACTTACCTGAATTCTGCTCTTGGGTATTTCTACCTCCCATATTGCATATAAACTGTTTGTATTGTGCAGGTTGTTTTCCATTGGAACTACAATTTATGATTCCTAGGTCTATAATAAATATTATATCAAGATGACCATGGCATCTTGTGATATACCTTGTCTAATTCTAGTCCACATGGATTTGCTCAGTTCGTTAGATCATAGCTTCTCATTAAGTAGCTGTCTTTTTAACAAATACTCATCCTATTCCTGCAAATAATAGGGCACATTCTTTGTGCTGACTTTGGTCAATTTAGCTACTTTTGCAATAAAGAATTGTTCATTTCGATGGTTTCTGCATACCACAGCATCAACTACATCACCCTTGTTTTATCATTGATATTGTCTTTAACATAATATCTTGAATATTATGCAAATTTCTGTCCACTACTTTTACGCTGATTTTGATATCCCTGGCACATTGTAGTTCTCCACAGTGGAAGGTCAGAAGGGAGATGGGTGCTGCAATAACTCAAAAGTACCACAACTCTCATTAGACCACAACCACTTCTGTTCAGAGAAACGTATGCTTGAAACAATGCCACTTCGCTGCTTCTGAAGTTATCCTAGCTTTTTCTAAGTATAAAAGCATAAAATTCAGATATTGAAAAGGAATAATTGCCTCACTTTAATGTATATCATTAGGGTGGCACAGTGGCTCCAGTGGTTAGCACTTCTGCCTCTCAGCACCAGGGAGCTGCATTCGATTCCACCCTCGAGCAGCTGTAAAGTTTGCACATTTTCCCCGTTTCTGTGTGGGTTTCCTCCCACAGTTCAAAGATGTGCAGGCTAGGTTGATTGGTCATGCTGAATTGCTTGTAGTGGTTAAGGATGTGCAGGCTAAGTGGATTAGCCGTAGGAAATGCAGGGTTACAGGGATAGGGTAGGGGAGTGGGTCTGGGTGGGATGCTGTTTGGAAGATTGGTATGGACTGAATGACCTGCTTCCATACTGTAGGGATTCTATGATTCATCACACTTATTTTTATTGTACTTTTCCACCTTTAAAAAACTATATTTGGTTTTATATCTTTTGAATGTAGTTTTCATCCTTACCATCCAGGTGTTACCTTGGCAGAACTCATCTCTCACCTGGTGTAGAACATACACAGTTCTTGTGCTAGTAAAAATAATGAAACAAAAATTAGATGAGTTCTGCAATGGATGATTGATCCATTGCAGCCCAGGTGGCAAAGTTGAAAATTACTCCATTTGTGCACATAATGAGTGTGTGTATATATTTTTTAAAAGGATTGATATCAAAGAAAAAAGTACATAGCTATCTTCCCTTATTGTCCTTACCCTTGTTCTATGTTTGTTTTATGTTATGCTGCTATGTCTCAGGGAATATGACCACATCTCTGGATGGATTTGGTTCTGATATTGTATTTGGCTTGAATGAAGATAACACTCACTACAGGATTAGCAAAAGTTTGCTGAAAGGGACAGAAGGCAGTACAGTACCTCTGACCAGGGTGAAGTGCTTAGTATCAATGACAACACCACATGATATTAGGCTTCATGGTTCATCAGTCACCCCAGCATTTGTGGAATTTGATACAGCTCTGGAAGGCTTTGGGTGAGTATTACTTTGCTTGCTAAACTTGAAGAAACAGCTAGATTATTACAATCTTCTACAGATTTTGTGGCATTATCTAATGGCTAATTTTTTTTTTTGAAGGGGAGTGAGGATCAGTTTAATTTAAAAAAAAAAAAAAATCTGAATCCAGCAGGAAGAGATTTCAAGTGGTTGAATTGTATCTGCGTGTTAAGAAACTTGTGCATCCAAAGTAAAGTCACTAAATTTTTAAGATATGTGAATACTGCAGGGAAGTATTGATATTTTTAATTTGGCTGAGTTCAAAATAAATACACATCAATCTCCAAACCACTCTGAGTACTTCATTGTTAATTTGAATGAATTGTAAGCACACGTTTTCATGACATAATCAATATCAGTAGACTTTGACCATAAATGTAGAATTATGGAATCTTCATTATTTGTGCGCCAGTTGTCTGTCAGAACATTAATGCACAGAGCTCTGCAGAGGCATTGATATCTTGTACAACTGAATATGGTCTGTTGGACATTAAATCGAGTTTGTTATTTATATTATACCTGATTAATTTCTGAATCCAATGTTTTACTGCACAAATACGTAAAGACAAAATTTGTAGACTCTGATCATCTAACAAATTCCATTTATTCACTGAGAGAGTCCTTTCTTTCTCTGAAAAAAAATCTTGCAATCTGGCCAATCATCCCTATCGTTGAAGTGATGAAAAATGTTGTTGATAACAATGTCAGTGACATTTACCTATCACAGACTGCTCACCAGTGCTCATTCTGGGTTCCAGTAAGGCTGCTACAGTCCAGACCTCAATACAACATTATTTCAAACATTTGGAAATTGAACTAAATTATAGAGGTGCAGTGAATTTGGCTCCAGTTGACATCGAGACAGGTTGCAATTGGATTCATTTTAGACCTATCAAAATTAAAATTAGTGGGTATCAAGAAAATATCTCTCCATTTCTTGGAGTCATACTAAATACAAAGGAACGTAGTTGCATTGTTTCAGGTTTATCATCTCAGCCGTGGGAAATTTTGCCCAGGTTCCTCAGGGTAGTGCTCCAGACCCAGCCACCTTTACCTAATATCAGTTACTTGATCAGACATTCCTTCAAACATAAGGTTAGAAGTAGGGAATGTTAACTGATAATTGCAGTGTTTAGTATCATTTCAGAGCTCTTCAGATACTGAAGTAGTCTGTGTCTCCAAGATCTGGACAGCATTTAAGCTTGGGCTTAAATTTTAAAATTCAAAAAGAAGCCATTCAGCCCATTATGTCTGTGTCATCTCTCTACATGAGCATCTTTCTTACTGCCTTTCTCCTGCCTTCTCTTTTGTTCCTCTTAAAATAATTGTTTAATTTCAATTGAATGTCTTAATTTAAATCTGCCTCCTCCACACTCTCTCAGGCAGAACGTTCCAGGTTCCAACTACTTGTTGCATGAAAATGTATTTTCTTGTATTACTTTTGCTTCTTTACTAATTACTTTAGATTTGTACCCCCTCATTCTCGATCCTTGCAAGTAGAACATTTTCTCCCTATTTTCTCTGTTGAGACTCCTACGTTTTGGTAATCCTGGGCTTGGGGACCGCTTTGCAGAATACCTACACTTGGTTCGCACTAAACAACTGCACATCCCAAGTCGCGAACCATTTCAACTCCTCCTCCCATTCCTCAGACGACATGTCCATCCTGGGCCTCCTGCAGTGTCACAACGATGCCCCCCGAAGGTTGCAGGAACAGCACCTTGTATTCCACTTGGGAACCCTGCGGTCCAATGGTATCAATGTGGACTTCACAAGCTTCAAAATCTCCCCTCCCCCTACCTCATCCCAAAACCAGCCCAGCTTGTCCCTGCCTCCCTAACCTGTCCTTTCTCCCACCTATCCCCTCCTCCCACCTCAAGCCCCAACCCCATTTCTTACCTACTAACCTCATCCTGCCCTCTTGACCTGTCCGTCCTCCCTGGACTGACCTATCTCCTCCCTAACTCCCCACCTACACTCACCTTTACTGGCTCCATCCCCGCCTCTTTGACCTGTCTGTCTTCTTTCCACCTATCTTCTCCTCTATCCATCTTCTATCCGCTTCCCCCTCTCTCCGTATTTATTTCAGAACCCCCTTCCCCTCCCCCATTTCTGAAGAAGGGTCTAGGCCTGAAACGTCAGCCTTCCTGCTCCTCTGATGCTGCTTGGCCTGCTGTGTTCATCCAGCTCTACACCTTGCTATCTCAGATTCTCCAGCATCTGCAGTTCCTACTATCTCTGAAACAATCCTAGTAATCCTACTGATTACTACTTTCAAATATTCTCTTCCCCAAGGAAAGTAGTCCCAACTTCTCCAATTTTATTTTCGTAACTGAAATCCCTCATCCCTGGAATCATTCTCAGAGCCTCTTCTGCACTCTCTCCAATGCCTTTGCATTTTCCTAAAATGTGGTGCTAGAACTGGACATATACTCTAGTGTTAATCTTGTGATTTATATCAATTCAACATAGTCTCCTAACTCTCTCTCTCTCTTTTTGTCCCTCATAATAAAGCTTTAGGATACTTTATGCTTTATTACCCACTGTCTCAACCTGTCCTGTCAACTTTAGTGACCTGTGGCACTTATACAGACAGGTTGTCTGCTCCAGTTTTCCCTTTGAATTACATGCTTTATTTCATTTTGGCTGTCAATGTTCTTCCTACCAAAATGTTAGCATCTTCGCATTTCTCTGTATTGAGCTTCATCTACCACTTATCCGTGCATCTCACCAACTTGTTGATGTCCTTTCTATACTGTCCGAAAAAGTATTTGCTTATTACTCAACTGTACCCTCTGCCTCCATGTATCAATTCACTTCTTGGTCCCTAAAAAGCTACATGTCTCTTTAATCGTTTAAATAGTAAAAGAACGACACAAAGAGCCTTCAGAATTCTCTTTAATGTTAGCTGCTGGTCTCTTTCCGTACTTCTTCTTTATTTATCTTATTTACATTTTCCACCCGTTTGAACCCGTTAACGTCAGTCAGGTTTTCAATTGTACTTTTTTGACATTTATCATAACTATATTTCTTTCTTTTTTATCAAATTTCTACTACTTTTGGCAATTAAGCACTAGATTTGTTTGTGGTATCTTTCTCTTTTGAGGGGATCTACCTTGTCTGTTTCCAAGCCATTTCTTTATTTCAAGGTAGATAATTAATAAGCTACTGTTTTACCTGCCAACCTCTGGTTCACATTTATGTGATCCAGATCCATTCTTAGCCTATCGAGGTTAGCTTTCCCCAATTTATTATTCTAGCTCTGGATTTTTCATTGTCTTTTCATGTTGTTATCTTATGATACAGTCATTGTAATCCCCTATATGTTCTCCCCCTAACATTTGATCTAATTTATCCACTAAATTTGCAAAAACATAGCCTAGCCGTGCTCCTTTTCCTGTTGGACTGGAAATGTAATGCTGTAGAAAATTCTCCTATGCGTGCTTGTAAGAACTCTTGCCCTTCTCTGTCCTTAACACTACAATCCCAACCTATACTCAGATTATTCAATTGCACCTCTATAACTACTCTAATTTTTGCACCTCTCTGTAATTTCCATGAAGACTTGTTTCTGTACATCCCTGCCACCATTTAGTGGCCTGTAGAAGACACTGAGAAATATGATTGTATTTTTATTGTACCTGGGCTCAAGCCAAAGTGATTTATTGACCATCTCCCACAATTCGATCATCTCCCCTTGGCATTCAATTGAATTTATGACCACTGAATACCCAACATCAATATCCTCGACGTTAATATTGATCAGGAGGTCAACTGAAACAACCGTAAATACAATACCTACAGCATAGGTGAAAGAGTGACTGACTGTTTTGTGGCAAGTCGTTTCTCAAACCCTTTCCACTCTTTACAAGCTGCATGTCAGGATTGTGATGGAATACTTTTCTAGATGTGTATAGGTCCAACAACACTTAAGAAGCTTGCCATCATCCAGGGCAAAGCAAGCCACTTAATCCATGACCTTTTAAACGTGCTCTTCCCCCGTCAATATAATGCACTGTAGCAACATGCCAAGACTCTGACTGTATCTTTCAAACTTGCAAGCTTTACCACCTAGAAGCACCACAAGAGTATAACATGTGAAAGCCACCACCTGCAAGTTTCCCTCCAAGTCAACACACCATTTTGACTTGAAGCTGTATCTCTTTTTACACTGAGATAACAAGGTGTAGAGCTGGATGAACACTGCAGGCCAAGCAGCATCAGA